CAAATACAACAACCCAGAGGATTTGCTGCCGCCATGTCTGAAGCGCTTGACAAACTGGAGCAGCAGGAGGCGGAGAAGAAGGTTGAACGTGCGGCAGTGGCTGAACAATTGAAAGACACTAAACGTCAAAAACGAGAACTGAAGCGGAGAAAGTGGGTCGACTGGAAGACACAAGATGAACAGGCGGGTGATACAAAGCGCCCAGCATTTGATCCAGCAGATCGTGTGAAGCGAAAAAAATGCGCAATATTGTTAAGCTACTGTGGTGCCAATTACTTTGGCATGCAGCGCAATCCGGGCATGCAAACCATTGAGGAGGAGTTGTTCAAAGCTATGTTAAAACATAAGTGGATTACAGAGGAAAGTTTTGAGGCAGCACAAGCGGCATGCTTTCAGCGTGCCGCACGCACCGATAAAGGGGTGTCTGCGGCGAGACAAGTGTGCTCGATAAAATTGCGTAAGTTTGGAAGGTTTGAGCACATTTGAATATCGATTTGCAGTTGCTTATATGTATGTACATGCACATTTCACCTTTTAGCCGATACGTTGGACATCAAAGCTTTAAATGAAGATTTGCCGGAGCAAATACGTTTGTTTGCAGTAGAGCGCGTTACCAAAGGCTTCAATGCGAAAGACCAGTGCAACGCACGTACCTACACATACACACTGCCATCCGTTGCGTTTGCTGATTGTGGGCAAAAACACGTTTTTGAGTCATACCGTATTGAGCCTGCTCAGCATCTAAAGATAGGAGAGGTGCTGAAGCTGTACGAAGGCACCAAAAATTTTCACAATTTCACAAGCCGGAAGTAAGTGATTTTGGCAATTGCTGCTTTAAACGTTGATACATGCTTATTTATTTTATTTTCAGAAACTTTTTGGATCCTTCTGCCAAACGCTTCATTATGTCATTTAGTTGCTCCGAACCATTTGTAACGCCACAAGGCATTGAATTTCTAACGCTCAAAGTTAAGGGACAAAGTTTCATGCTTCATCAAATTCGGAAAATGGTTGGTTTGGCGATAGCAATTGCACGTGGTAATACCACGACAGCTACATTGGATCGCGCGCTAACTGAAGAACGGTTAGATTTGCCGATGGCACCAGGTTTGGGCCTTGTTTTAGACACAGTGCACTATGAACGCTATAATGATCGTTATGGCGGCGATGGCATTCATGAACCACTGACTTGGACTAAACAAGAGGATGAAATTAAAGAATTCATAGAACGTTATATTAACGCAAATATATACGAGACAGAATATAAGGAGCGGTCAATGTTGGAATGGTTAGAGACATTACCGCTGCATTCGTACGATGCGCGACGTGATGATACCACAAACAACGATGATAGTGGGAAAAAGCAAAACGACGATGACGATGAATAATAATTACAATTTCTCAGAAAACTAAAATTTCCGCCAAATACATATGTATGTATGTATATTAAAGACTACATATACTTGGTACTAAAAAATAGAATAGTAAGTATGGAAAGTGTTGGCATTGAATAAATACCACAAATTTGAAGAGCTTTTATATAATTTATTTCCAGCTTATTCTCGATGCAAATGCATTTTGCTTTATATATCCTCTACTGTTGTAATATTCAAGCACAATAACTTAGAAAATATTAAAAGCATGCTTTAAAAAATTCCCCGAATAGCTTAAAGTATGCTAGCGTGGCATAGGGTTTAGAAACGTCCACCCTTCTTCTTTTTATGACCACCCTTGCGATGCTGCTGACGTGGTCCTGGTGTCGGTTCTTGGTAGACAGGGGTGGCGGGAGAATTTTTGCTAAGATTGGCACGATTCGACATATCACTGAAAAATAAATAACCTTATGCATTCACGAAAAATCAAAAAAGCATTAAGCCAACTTACTATTGATCAGCAGCGCCACTAGCCATACCCTGTGAACCCTTAATAATATCCTTTGCACGACGATCACGCTTCTTACGGAAACCAGTACGTTCATATTTGGGCAACCAGCGCTCTGGATCTGGTGGCACCTCGGCGTTGTAGTTTTTGGGCAGTTTACCTTTGCGTTTGCGGTTGCGGCTCTTCTTTTTCTCGACAACTGGCGTGCCAGGGGATTGGTCGATTTTAGCATTCGCTGTCTTCTTTGCTGCTTTTGTAGACATCACCCAATTGGCCGCCTCTAACGCATCGATTTCGGAGGCAGTAGTAAGTGTTTCAAGTTTCGGTAGACGTTTACTCAATTCCAAGGCACGTTTTGGATTGAATTGTGCATATGCAATAACCAACTGTGCCAATACTTTCATATCATTGGCATTTAACTTGAGTAGCTCTTCAAGTGAACTGGCTGCTGTTTCAGATGCACCGCCACGTAAGTGGAATTCTGCAGCTTGGCGCCACATATCGCTCAAATCGCCACTGCTTACCTGTATGTAATTGCAAACAAACGATTTTAAATAAAATTGTAGGAAATTTTTTTAGGGGGTGCTTACATTGTTCATTTTATACCATTCGACAGCCGACTTCAGCAGCTCAGATGCGGCGCGTTTATTATCAGTGCCCAAGTAGAGTGTTACTAACGCAGATATAATACCTGGTTTATACATTTTCTCGCCAAGTGAAAGCAGAATATCAATCGCCTCTTTGCGGCTGCCTTGAGACAGCAAAAGTTGCACAATGGCAAATTTTGATGCAAAGGCATTTTCTTTATGTGCAGCCGCGTACTTATTCAACAAGTCCACTGCTTCTTTCTGTCGCTTATCCTTGGTGAGTTGAGAGCAACGTATAAGTAGAGTTTGGAATTCCAAATCAGGATAAGTTTCCACTAACTTCTGGCATAATTGCTGTACTTGGTCACTGGAGTTTGTAAAAAATGCAAGCAAACAATTGTTCAATGCAATTGCTTTCTTTTGACGACTAGTCAACTTCGATTCGCATGCTTCTGACATAGCCGAGCGTATTTTCTTTTTAGAGTCAAACACGTTCTGATCCTTATTGATGACCACCGAATTATTGCTGGCCACAGCAACTAAAACTGGATCTTTGGGCTTAAAGCGCAAACATTCCGCATATATGGCTGCCGCTTCCTTTAATTTCCCCTGCATTTGCAAGCAATAACCCAACTGCACACGTATCGGTTCTAATTCTTCGCGCATTTCCTCCTCAGTCACGCCATCCTCTTCCAAAGTTTCACGACAAAGTTTTTCGCTGGCACGCAATTTTTTCTCAGCCTCGGCATACCGCTGGCGATTCGAAGCTATGCAAGCGGCGTTATAGTACTGCTCATATGTTTCTTCCGGCAGCTCGGGTATTTCCTTATTCTAGAAATAACAAAAATACTTTACATTTCAGTGGACCAGGAAAAATTCGTTCGAACCGTTTTCTATACCTTATCTACTGCCAAGTTAGCGGCAACAGCACTCAAATTTGTGCGCCTTTCATTTTCATAATCATCATTGGTATTTTTGATTATTTCCCTGTAAGCATCAAAGCACTCCTCATACCTTTCCAGCCGATATAGCACTTGTGTGCGCAACTCTTTCAAGCTCACCGGCAATGGATTAATATCAGCATTATCAATAGTTTTCAATGCTTGTTCGGGCTTGTTCAAGCGATACTCGCAGTAGGCCTTTTCCAGCACTAGAGTGGCGGCAAGTTTATTCTTTTCTATGAATTTGTATGCCTCCTCGAACTTTGAAAGTTGTATCAGGCAAACAACTTTGCAATGCAAAGCTGTCTGATCATCCGGCGCAACGCCCAAAACTATGGATAAAGTAAAAAAAATTAATGGTATCCGACTGATTCTACGAGAGGCGTTCCCGGGGGAGGACCAAACACAACAACTACTACATACCTCTATTCACCGCCTTGACTGCCTTTTCGTATTCGCCATTTTGACCAAATTTATTTACATCCGCATATGCAGCTTTTATGATAGCTTCCTTTTGGTTCGGATCCTTGGACATTTTCACTAATTTTCCACGATTTTTCTTTTATTTTTGAGGCATTCAGATTCAGACGAAAAACGAAATCAACACGAGTGCAAAAAATTTGTCTAATCTGAAATTGACAATTATTTGACACCTCAGCAAATTGGAAATTTGACAACAAGTGACACCACAGGGGCACTAATGTGCAAAAAATAATGAAATTTAAAAAGAACCAAATGGGCGTGATTGATTAAGGGATATTTTATATAAAAAGAAGAAATACATAATAAATAACTAAAAGTGTTCTTACACAATATGTATTTCCACCTGTAAATGTGACTGTTTGATTAAAGCTGATGCCAAAGAACCGAAATCTATACCTTCTTTTTTGGCAACATTTTACAAATCGTCGCCTGGGTAAAATATTGTCGTAAACGTCATACGTACGTGCGTAACATACGACAATCTTTTACCCAGGCGACGAAATAAAAAAGGATGCAGTCAAATGCCCAGTCAACAAAACTCTATCCGCTTGCGAGAGAAAGAAGCAAACGCAAGCGAGATTTTCAAGCATGTGAAGACGGCCAGTAGCATCAATCAAACAATTGTAGTGCTGCCAGCTTGTGTGGTATTTCTTCGCATCATAGTGGCAGCATTAGTGCAAATCGGGCGTCTGGTATCACCAGCGATTATTTTACAAATTCTATTTTCCTTGTCTGATCAGAAGCAAAAGTTCGTAAAAAAGTGATGCGCAGTTGGGGTGAACACCTTTTTTGTGAAAATTTAATGTATTGCATTGAAATAATTATTAATTGTAATTTGCAAACCGAAAAATTAAGAAACAATTAGTGGGAAAGTTGAACCAGTAGCAAGAGCTCAACTGGAAAGTGGGTGGGATTGTGCAAAGGGGCCGACAGCGTTGTGCAGAGAAAAAATCGCATTTTTCATAAAGTGATTGTCACTAGCGTTGGCGTTAGCGACTACGGACAAATGCAAAACAAACGTGGAAATAAATAATAAAACAAAAGTTTCGCCAGTGCAACAGAATAAGTTATTCCATAGTAAGCTAAGCAAGTTTGTAAGCGGACATGCCGAACCGAAGACAATGTGGTTACATGGGATTGCTGATTTCACTTCTACTGGGAACATTGACCACAGGTAATATTTGCATGCGTGCATTGATTCCTCAGCATCCTGCTGGCCATTCGCCTCACCTCGTTAGCATCTACGCATTCATTCATAAATATGCTATAGAAAGCTAATGAGTTTTTCGTATTCAGCCATTGTTAATGGCCTGTAAATCGATATCCGCCCACTAATTGTTTCATTCCTTTAATAAATGTATGTACATATGTACATAGATATACTTAGGTATTGTAAGTTTATGCATATAATGTAATTTTTACTAATCACTATTCACTTTCCCGATTGCAGTGGCAGCTTATTATGTCGAAGTTAAGAGCACCGGTTCATCCGTCATTGGTGGCACGGTGAATTTCAGTGCTGTGTTATACGAAGATGGGCAAGTGGCGAGCAAAGGGGATTACCAGTTTAATTGGGAAGATAATACACCTGCCGCAAATCTTGTGGTAAGTAAAGAAAGCATATTGGTTTATGCAACGGATTTAGGAATACAGATATCCAGACCCATCTTATAGGAATTGTGTAGAAACGATCATTATGCAATCATTCCCCCGACTTATTAGATTGAGATCAACGCTCCGAAATTTGCCAGCGAAAGTCTTAGCTACAGAAGAATAACACTGAGATTATAAATCCTTGGCGTAATTAGCTTATGTACATACATATGTATGTATGTATCTACTTTGATTATTTCTTTGGCATGACTAATAACGAACTTTATTTGCTTGGTTGATATTTTTATCACTTTTAGACTCTTGCGAATATCGCAGAATAAATAGTTTTGAATGAATGCATATAACTTCATAGAAATGTGACGTATGTGCATACATACATACATATGTATTACATAGGGCGGTCCAAAAATTTATGTGAAAAAGTAGATAAAAGTCGGAATATGCTTTCACCGACGAAAGTTCTGTAGATACCAAAAAAATATACCCATATTTTTTTTATTTGGAAATCAAAAAATATTTAGAGGTCGCTCAAAGTGCTTAAAGCAAGCGAAGACTCGGATGTAGAATCTGGAAACATTAAAAAATGTGAATCTAAAGCTCAATTGAAGGCCTATCTTATAACCTATCAAATAAAGTTCAATAGGGCGGCTCTTGTAATTGCAGCACTTTTGAATGCACTATTCTTAAACTTGGTTTCAATCCGTGCAAAAATGAGCTGTGAGAAATTTGAATAGACTTTCAAAGTCCAAATTTGCTTGCCAACTGCTTTTTTGAATAAAAAAGCAAAGTCTCATAATCTGTGCATGCACATTTTTATTGAATTCATTCCAAACAAAGTTAAAAATATATGTTGGGGACTGCTTATCCACAAGTACCTTGAGAATCTACAATTATATTAAAATATACTAATTTCAAAGAACACTTTTATACTCTGACATGTAAACTTTAAGCAAACAACAAAACCGACTGGGACCACCTGTGAGGTAACACATTTCCTTTAAAAAAACAATTAAAGAAATCGATTATCGAGGTCCATACATAAAGAAAAAAATATTCCAACGAATTTATAACCTTTCTCCTTTCTGTGAAGTCGGTTAAAAAGGAAAAATTTCATATACAAATCACTTTTAAATCTGCTATACATTTTTCTTTCACCTCGTACACACTTCTTATTCACGTTTAATAATAAAAAGAACTAATCTTTATAGTTCTGTACATAATACAAAAATATTAAATATTTGTTTCGTGGTTTTATAGAAATTTTTTCAAATAGTAAAGATCTCGGGGTATCCTTTTTCTTTTCTAATCGAGTAAAAATTTTGTGCCTTCTAATTTGTACAAGCTGAGAAGCAGCACAGAAAAAAATTAAGTCGGAGAAAATAAGTGTTACCGTAATGCATTAATAGGTATGTATATCACATTCAAGACCCGTAGAAAAAACTAGTTATAGTCGTGCTTTGAATGAAAAATAGAGAATTTAGAGGAATTCCTGAAGAATTCATATGTATTGTAAGTACCTATGTTTGTGTGTACCTGCACTTGTAGATTCTACATGCCTATCATTGATGAAACCCTAACTTACAGTTTTTTTTTTTCAAAATGCGGTTTTTTGCATTTTTAAGTAGCTTATACTAAAAATTATACTAAAATAAATTTTATAGTCGCAACTCAAAGCTCGATGATTGTATGGCCCTACGCACAGAGTTTTCGGTGTAGGAGGTTCGTCTTATTGCTTCTCCTGTAAAAAAATTAAAGGTCAGTTGAGGCTTTCTACATTTCACCAACGATAAGTACATACCCGACAACCCTAACGGCCTTGTCCCTGTGGACAAACCCCACAGAAGCTGCACGCTTCCTAGGGTTGCCGTTAGTGGAACTTGACGACAACGACTGAGATACCAACCGTCCTGGGCGGGGTTGTTGTAGCCGCTACAACAACAACAACAACATACTGTACATATGTATGTAGGTGCGCGCAATTTACTTTAGAAAAGGTTTGACTTTATAAATATCAATTTATTTAAAATAAGAATTAATTCGAGACATTTACCTAAATAATTCCCATTTGCTGCAAATAAGAATACAATTTGCAACAAAAAGAAAATCAAAAATTTCTAGTTAAATAAAACAATTTATTAAATTTTAATGGGTTTTATTATTGCGCATTTTATGTGAAATTCTTATTAAATTTCAATGTTGATTCAGCTGGGAAGCCAAAGATAAACTTTTGATATTTTGTCTTTTATTGCATTACAAAGTTCAGCGGCCCGCCAAAGTGTATACGGCTTAAAGCAAATATAAGAATACAAAGATAAATATTGCAAATTTAATGTACTCTATGTATGTATATATACTATACATATGCACATACGTATGTAGAATATATAACTTGAGGTATGGACTCGGGCATACATATAGGTCTATTGTACTCTATGTTCGTCACAACCATTCTTCTAAACCTAGCTCCTTCAGAAAGTTCAGTAGAGGTTTTGGTGGTAAGGATTGTATGTGCTCATACACACATTGAGCCTATACTTCTGAAGCGTCTGCCAGAGACGGTGTTAAGTTTAAATTGATAATAAGATGGTAAAAAATTAACTTGAACTTACCTGGCATTTTGTAATTTAACCCTAGAGTGTTCGCACCATGAGGATTTTGCCGCCCGGGGCAAAAAACTGCAGAAAAATGGCAATTTAAAGACGAGATATTCAACAAAAGCAAGATCAGCTGCTCTACTTCTACTACCTATTCAATATGCTTTGCCCCATTAAGTATATCAAACGTAAAATGAGTTGAAAAAACCCTTTTAAAAGCTAATACTAGGGTAATTTCTTTTAGAAACTTGAACAATAATCATTAACGACTAATTTCGATTCATATCTACTCACAAATACGCAGACTTATAACTTCAGAAACCAACTACATATATATGTGCTCCTCGATTCGAAACTACTAGTTCATAGGCATGTCATTTTTATGAGCTGCTAGGGCGCCAAAATACCGAATACGACACAAATACGAGACATTAAAAGAAATACAGAACTTTTGGCGTCCCGTATGAAATAAATAAATTACCAGGACAATTGACGAAAAAAAGGACTGTCCCCTATAATACAGGACGGATGGTCACCGTAATTATATATTATAAATTACATATTAACTCAACATGAACTTGATTTTGAAAGTGTTTACAATGCCTTAGCTCAAATTAAAATATATGTACATATGTATGTATGTAGTTTCATGTTAATACAAGTTTGTTAACATCTAAAGGTACTTAATTGCAATGAACATACTTAAGATTTAATTCAAATAATTTTTAAATATTAATTTTTGTCTAGCGTGGATGCTGCTTCACTGGTCAGCTTATTATTGTAGCGTCTCCTATACACCCTATTCTTCATCTTTCGGAAACCTTTCCGCATTGATGCTTCGTAATCCGAATAATCGTAATCTTCTCGTTTCACCGCATCTTTATAAAAAATATAAGCACATACCAAATTGTGAAACGCAATTCAAATGTATGTGTATAAAACACATGGCATACGAGTGATGCTAAATCACAAAACTACATATCGCTCACCGTCTTCAAAAGGGGCACAAATCAAAATTACGCGTTCCTCAGAAATTGCAAAAAACAATTTCTTAGCACATGATAATCATATGGGCAAGGGAGACTTTACCTTAAGTTTGTTTTTTATCTTTAAATTATAACAAAAATTTGCACTAGCTTTTGCTGAAAGGTAAATAAAAGCTCTGTGTACATTTTTAGCGCATAATTTAAAAAATGCCAAATTTTGAGTTGTGCCTCTTTTGAAGACGGTGTGCGATAAACATAAACGGGACATGGCGTATGAGTGATAAAAATAAATAAATAAACACGTTATGACTTACTAATGAAGGTTAACTTACCAAAAGCATATTTTGAAAAGATTTTATATTTTCGCAATGCTAACTTTTTCTGGTTGCCATCCCAGTTTAAGGATAACAAAAATTCTTCCGTAAACAATTTATTAAGCGACTTCGAAATATCATTGGGCCCGATGGTTTCTCTTATATATTCCATCTGTGAAAGACAAATAATTTGTAAAAATTGGGGTGGGGTTTAGTACCGCTCACAACTATTTCGGGCTATTCCGTCCAAATGGGTGGCCCGATCCAAAAAAAAATTTCACACACTTGTAGCCAAGGGTCCACGCAATATTTTAACACTCACTTTTGTAAATTTTGGTTACTAATTTATTTACAAATTGGGTTTGAAATATGCCCTTTTTTGTAAAATTCGGAAATTAGCGTACATTTATCACTCCTATTCTGCTTAAATTAGCCACTTTACCAATATATTTTTGTATTCCCCTTCACTTTACACTTTACTTGATTTGCTATAACTTGCTTTACGACTTTAATATTAACCAATTCATCACAATTCATTAAATAAAAACACCTTCAAAATCACGCGTCTGACTTTGGTTGCATATGCAAATTAAATGGCGGAGTTCAGCTGTCAAACTCCAAAATATGCAAAAGAATGAGACAAAAGAAGATAGGACATAACCCAGTAAGCATTAAAAATATACAAAGGTGTTCTCTGCAAAAGGTGTTCAGCTCCTTTTCTTCGCAAAACAGAAAGGAGAATTCTACTGCCTGAGGGTTATAATCCCTAAGTGCGGCCGAAGGCCGCCTACGCAGAAAGGTGTTCTCTGCAAAAGGTGTTCAGGCCCCCTTCTTTGGCAACACAGAAAGGAGAATTCTACTGCCTGAGGGTTATAATCCCTAAGTGCGGCCGAAGGCCGCTTACGTAGAAAGGAATTCTACGCAAAAATACATTTGTTAAAAAGAACATTTTTTTTTATAAAAACTTTTTTTTTCTATTTTTAATTAACTTTTTATTCTTTATTCAAAATCCCCCCATATCTAATTTGGCATAATTTCTTTTATTAAAAAATCCCACGGTTTCTGTTAGTTGGGTCATATTCCACTTCAAACTGCTCAGTTTGCCTAAGAAAAATCCGTTTTTCCCCCTTTTTCAAACGGTTCCCTAGGTGCCTGTGGGAGGAGTCCAAGGGAGGGGTTCCCCTTTTTAGAAAGCGGCGACTGTCTCCTTTCTATTGGGGGGTGTTTTGGGGGCCCCGCCCCCTCCCGCTTCGCTCCCCACCCAAAAAACGGTGTGAGTGGTACTAAACATTTCCCAAAAATTGTAAGCAACTACATACATATATGTATGTATAAGAAAAAATACGTCAATAATATGTATACTGAAAAACATACAACTTCATTTGTTGGCATAGATTTAACATTTTTCTCCACATCGTCCATTTCTTCTTTTGATTTAAATGGAAAAAAGTTGAAATTTAAAGTCTTCGGGAAAACATGATTGGAAAGTCTTTCCAAATAGACCATATGCTTGGCAAGCATAGACGATACGTTTTTCAGTTCTTTTTGCAAATAGTTGTTTTGCTCTTCTGGATTGAGAAATTGTTATTAAAAGTTGAATAGTAAGGAGTGTTAAGCGTCGTAGTATATACCTATTTTTTTCAGTTTAGCGTTTAAGATGGTTATTGCATCATTGCCTTCTGGATCGAATTTTACATTAGGAGGGAACATTTTAGAACACCTATATAATAGTATATAAATATAATTTGTATTACATAGTCTTCTAAGGCCTTATAAATAAAAAGGAAAGTGAGAGGGTGATTAATTACTTACATACATACTACATATCGTCACCTGAAATGCAAAAAGACGTAACAAACATCGTCACTGAAATGCAAAAAGTCATAACTTATAAAAAATACAAAACTCACTTTTTGATTGATATGATGGATTCCATCGAATTACAACTCCTTACATCGTTTTATGAAAAAAAAAAATATTAGTCACGACTTTTTCCATTTCACTGACGATGTTGTTACGTCTTTTTACATTTCAGGCGAGAATATACATAGACCTCAACGCCTTTTGTTATCGTTTTTCTGTCCTTTTGTCATACAACCCAAAGTCATACAAATACTACACCTATTCGTGCTGTTTGGGTGCATTTGAAACACCCTCTACTACTGGTGTAACACATGGTTCCTGTCACAAATGCACGAACAGAAACAAATGTTTAACATCACTCACTAATGCTGCCAAATGGAAATTTACGTCGTGCGGCTGTGTCATATAAGCCCCAATCTAAAATTGCTTTTCTTTTGATGCTTTTGATGAGAAATGCACCCCATTACTGGCTATAATTGCGTAGTTATTTTCTAAACCACTTATAATTTCTTCATCTTTCCAAATCTTTGTGCACACCGTAGTGCAGATATTTACTCGAAGGTACTGCAACGATTTTCCTATCACACTTACATATTTAATTTAAACAAACTATTAAAAGATTCGGTAGATGTACAATACTCACTGCAAGTAAAATTCCCCCCTCCCCCTCAAGTACCCGCGGCTACTATTACCATTTTCCCGTCTTGTATCGTTATCGTTCTTCAGTTGCTTGGCAATAAGGCGCTTCATTTGGCGTTTCGACAAACCGAATTGTCGATCTAATTTTGTACTTTTTACTTACTTTTTTTTTACTCAACCGAAAATATTTTATGTAACTAGCGAAAATGGTATTCTTTTCTGAGCATTGTAAGAAATTTAAACATTTATTTTTTACTTCGCATTTGTACTGCTTCCTACTTGCTCCTTAGGGGAGCTGCTCACTTTCAATTCCGTTGGGAATGTATGTTCTGCGTATGCGCATGTTTTGAATGTATTGGTATCTGTGAATGCCCTGCCGAAAATCTGACTAGCTCAGGACTAGCGTAGAAGTAGAGCTTTTGCCGAAAGTACTAGTTCTAGATCAATACCCAAGCAATGCTTTCAACTGTCGAGTTTTACACGGCGATGTCATTGGCGGTGGCAATTGTCGCCCAGTGCAGTTGGACAGTTTTTTTGGTATAAGAAAACGGTTTGAAGATTCGTTTTTGTATATTTTTTTAGATTTTTTCTTTTCCGTTACAGATTCCATTTTCAAAATTCAATTTGGAAACTCACAACTCCCTCCACCGCGATTAGAACTCGCGACCAACGATGAGTCGGAGGTCTTCTCGAGTACGAGTAGTGAGCATTTGCACATTTAAGTGTCAACTGTCCCGCTCTGCATCCGTTTTGCACTAGTTCAGAGATAGTTCTGATATATGTAGTTTGTCAGACTGTCTCTAAATTTTACGCAGGTTGCATATACGACACTCACTACATTCCAGTGTTGCCACTTTGTGAGTAATTCCTCAAAACGTGAGGAATTTCGGGTGCGTTTGAGTATTTTTTGAGGAGTTTTATTTTGAGGAATTTTCTCTCGATATATTTGCAGATAACAAATGCAACCATGTTTTACACAGCAGAGTTGTTGAATCGCACCGCAAATTTTTGAATAAAACGCTTTCCGAAGTTTTATAAAGAGCGAAATACACTACACAAGCGGCTTGTCAAACATTCTTGAAACCTACTTTTCCCATTTCGCCATACACCATGCAAACATGACTCGTTCAAGCAAAGAATTTTAGTTTTCTTCCGGAAAAGGGATTGGTTTTCTTCGATTTTTCTCTCTTGAGTCCTCATTCGGTAAAAATTCGGTTTCGAATGAGGCGATTTTATCATACGCAACGTAAGCGGTTTGATCAAAAGTCAACATGGCGGCCATAAAATAAAAAAATTTAGATTTTTGTTCACATTTCCCTCAAAGGGCTTGTCAAACCTTCAAACCCCTCGATACGCAACATAAATAGCTTTAAGCAAAGGGATATTTCGCTTGGTTTGTCAAGCCGTTTGTGTGGTGTGCTACTAAATATTAAAAATGTTATCGATAATTTTTTCCGCAAAAACAAATATACCAATTGAATTAGAGAATGTAATTAATTTTTATACGAAGTACCTGTGAATAGTATGCAGTACACAATACTCATATCTGTAATAAGAAAATTTTGAGTAATTTGTTCGGGTTTTGAGGATTTTTCATTTGTTTTTGAGGAATTTTGTAATTTTTTTTGTGGCAACACTGATACATTCGCTCAACTGTCAAATGACTTCAGCAGTTGTTTAAAAAATTTTAGAACGTAGCGGGTGCATTTTAGTTTATATATTTAAAAAAAAATATTCATATATAAAATCTGACTGGTCGTATAATCATATTTATGACGAAAGAAAGACTCATTTTAGACTCATAAATTATGAGCACTCATAAAATTGTTTGAAGGGTACGCACAGGAAATTTGAGAGTAATTGTTACTTTTGCGCTTTAAAATTGCCAAGGGCACCCTGCAGAAAAAATATAAATTGATAAAAAATAGCCAAGTTATTGTTAGCTTTTTTGCGTGATTTCGACAAATACCTCACCTTTAATTAGCTAATGATAAAACTAACTGGAAACTAATTGAAAAGTAGTGCAGGAGTCATGCAGACGTTATCGGGAGTCTGTTTTCTTTAAATAAGTTTCTATTTAAATGTCCTCATACAATAATTACTTTAAATACATTTTTTTTGCTGCAGTTCACAGATGCTTTCTCGAAACAAATAAGCAAATATGTAATCTTAAATAAAGTAAATGAATAAAAATGTAACAAGTTTTGTTTGCTGGGTTATGGAGCTACTTAGGCCGATGAAAAAGAGAAACGAAAGTAAATTTTCTTCCTTCCCTCCATAACCCAGCAAACAATTAAATAAGGAATTTGGCCCAAAATTATAACAAGTTTTGTTTTGTTGATATTTTATGTCGCCCTTTAAAAGTAGTTATTTACGGCTGAAGGAAGTAACTACAACTAGTAGACTGCTGGGTAGTTAAAAGTTAGCTATTAACTAGCCCTGTTTCCTGCAGGTCATTTTCGAAGTTGCGCATGTGTTAGTGTGCTGCAGCGCAGAACTGCCACTTTAATACGGGACAACCTTTTGAGAAACTTTACCCCACCCACCGCCACTCCTGCTTACAAACAGAGTTGTTCTGCTGGCAGAAATGTTGTAGTGTGAAACCGAGCTTTTGCTACATATATAGGCATTTCCAAACATAAATTTCTATAAATTTTTTGATAAAAGGAATGATCTTTCGATTTTTATTTTTCAATATGTTAGCAACAAACATGCTGTTGCGAACGTACGAATAATGGAAGTCGCTTTTGGCTGCAAATTAAAAAAATGCAAGAAATTGCGAAATGGAACAGAATATTCTAACACGATTAATTGTATATTAAAGTGGAATAAAGCAGAGACCGTAACAGTTACAACTTTATTAAAAAAAAAATCGCTCTAACACGTATTGTTTGACTTTTATTTAATTACTCCTTAAATAACCGTTATTTCTGACTTTTATATTATAAATCCAAAATAAGAATTATTTTTGATTTTTATCTAAATAATTGCAAATAACAGTTATTTTTGATTTTTAAATTATATGTCTCAGATAACAGCTATCGAAGACTTTTATTTATAAAATTCAGCTATAAAAATCAGTCACTGACCTTTATTTTTTAAATCGTACTTATAAAAGTCATTTGTTGTGTCGTCGTAGTAAACGTTTGTTTCCCAACACCTTCTTAACTGCGAAAAATGTTAATGACTTTTATACGAATGATTTTAAAACTAAAAGTCGGTGACTGATTTATATTGATGACATTCAAAAGTAAAAGTTTCTGACTAATTTTTATTGATGACTTTTATAAATAAAAGTCTTCGATAATTGTTATCTAAGACATATAATATAAAAATCAAAAATAATTGTTATTTTGGACTTAAGTATAATATAAAAATCAAAAATAATTGTTCTTTTTTTTTTAATTTTGCATAAAAATTGCAAATAAAAATTTATTTTGAAATTTGAGTCTCTATGAACAAAGAAATCGATTGGTATGTATCACCTAGTTGTAGAACATCTCCTTCTTAGTGAATTTTTCCATAACAGTTTTCATCAATCACTGTTGTGTTCGGCCCTGGAATAAAGTAACTTCCATCTAACTAATTGTGTGTTGAAATATTTCTATTAGTTTTTTATTTATAAGCTTAAGCGAACGTACGGTTTTTCCATCATTTTTTATACCTTCATGAACATGAAGTGGTATTATAAATTTGGTCCGATGTTTGAAGGTACAAGAATGATCAGAACGTCGAGCTAAGTCGATTTGCCAAGTTCAGCTGTCCGTCTGTTTGATCGCAATTTAGTCCGTCAGTTTTCAAGATATCCGACTGGGAAATGGGACCACTTACATAACTTATAGCTCCTACACAACTGATTGCTCATTTTACTTCTCGGTCCTGGTTGACTATTCTGTGGAAATGCTCATATGCATATCTCTCCGGTAATGTTTTCGGACTGCACTTGCAGTAACTGCCAATATTGCATATGTATATTTATACTTGTTGTAAGAAGAAATGCATTGGCGCGTTTTTGTCGATTAACATTTTTTTAACCATGCCTCTGACTTTGTGTTTGTCCGTGTTTTTGTTTTTGTCTTCAGCTTTGTGTTTGTTCATATATTTTACTTTATCTCTAGCTCTATTTGTATCTTTGTCTTTTATCTTTATTTTTATTTTCATCTTTATCTTTACATTTGCCTTTATTTCCATTTTCATCTTCATTTTCATTTATTTGCTTTGTCTTTAGACCTATATTAGCCACGGTTTTTGCCTTTGTTTTTGCTTAAGTATTTGTCTGTGACTTTGGCCGTGTTCTTGTTTTTTCCCTTGTCTCGATTTCAACGCCATCGTTCTCTTTCTGTCGACTCTTTCGCCATATCCCCCCGGCACTGTAGCTCACAGCGATAAACGCAAACGTGTCAGAATTCGTTCGTTTATGAAATTCCACCTCAAAAAATGTACAATTGCCCTTGTTAAGTGTACTTAATTTGGCCCAGCTTCTCCTCCAATTTATGGCGTGCGTCTTGATGTGCGATATTTAGGGCTAGCAAACAAACTGGTTTATAACAAAATAAATAAGTATTTCTATTGTCATCTCATTCATCTGAAACGTACATTCGTTTTATTATTTATTAGTTTTTTTTAGTATGCAATTCCAGTAACTCTTTTATAAGCAAACTTATTTATTCTATTTTATGTTAATTAATGACTGTCAATTCAGCGAAATGCACCGTGCATATTTAAATTTAATTCTTTGTCGTGAATTGCGTGTCTGCCGGTGTAAATGTTTTTTTTTTCTCCTTTTTATGAACACTGGAATGTGTGCATGCTTGCACCGCATTCTGTCATTCACTTCCATTTAAACAATTTGAATTAATTGTGTTTGTATTGGTTTATAATTTATTTTTGAAAGTTTTGTGTTTAATTTTAATAGTGTAATTTTATTGTAATTTAATTTACACTGGCGATCAAAAGTGAGTGCCTGGTGTATTTTGTTAAATCTTTGCAATGTTTTTCAAGCTACAATTTTTTCGTAATTTTTTTTTTTTGATAAAAATATGGTTAATGCTTTAATCAAAACCACTTAAGTCCAACTTTTCCACTTTATAAAGACCTTAGAAAAATTCAAAAAATTTGTATCTAAATTTTGAACTTCGTAATCTGAATAGTATTTTGATTTAACACTATTAATATGTACATACATACGTACATATGTGATTAAAAGACAGTGCATGTGTATGCATGTCAGTATATGTACGTATAGTACATATATTGAAGTACATATTCTGAATTCAAAATAACGTAAATTATAATAACAAAAGAGTGCAGTTAAATATAAAAATAGTTACTTACATACATACAAAAATACATTAGTATGTAACTCATATTGTATATTTAGTACGCTTTCATTCCTTTATGCAGTGAGAATATGCATTGTTTCGTGGCGTTACTTTTGATATGGAATATGTCAAGGCAGATTTAACTGATTACAATGCGGATCAGCTATAGATAGCGTTGAACTTGGGTGTTCCAATGGCACATGTTTAATTTTAATGAGAAAAAATATTAATTTAAACATTTCCAAGTGACTGGAAGTTACCTTATTTACCCAGCACTGATGTAGTTGTTGAACCTACTTCAGGATGATTTTTTTTTTATTGGAATGTAGCAAATACCCGGCGTGCTTCACTGCGCATTCAAAAGTATTTTTGTATTGTTAGTCCTTCCCAAAACTCTTTTGCTCTAAGAAAGTGTGATTGTCAAACAAGTTTTCGATGTATGAAACATATTTTCCTTTTTATGAATAAGGGTGTTCATTAATATATTTTCAAAGGTATTGAAGCCTGGAAATTAAATTTATACTCTTATAACGCGATTCTACATATCGTTTACTTTCTTCACAGGTGTATTAATTCAGTATTTACCTTATCTTATCATTTTAACTGAATAAAATTTTTCAAATAGTTGGAAACCCGCTACAAAATTTTTTTTTGTCAATAAACTGTCTTAAACTTCTTTAGTTTGATACCCGTATTGTAATATTTCATTTATTTTATCAATTCAATATATGGAAAAAAATTTCAAACAGCTGGCAACCCTCCCCAAAAATATTTTTGGCAGTAAACTTTCCTAAACCTTTTTAGTTTGATGCCCATATTGCAATATTTAATTTATCTTATCTTCAATGTTTTCTCTGATTGTTAATTAAATTGCTTAAAAATTTTCCTAGACGGGTAAATAGAAAGGATTCGACGAACCACAAATCTGGCTTGTATTACGAGATACTCACTTTGATACCACAACGAATTTCTTCAAAAATACCGGGCTTTTTTTAAATGCAATTAGGCATGATGGAGTAAAATATATTTCCAACATATCAGGAAAAAAAACTGACACCTAAGCATCGTATTTCCGTGCAGTTGAAAAATTTGTTTCGATAATTTGGAAACATATAGTAAACTTGTCCTCGGGCTATGTAATCGTACAATAAAAAGTGGTAAAAGCTTCAAAATGTTGATGGTATATTTTCATGGCACAAACTTGCAATATAATCTAAATTAATTTTCCAACTAATTTATTAAATTTAAAATTCTTCACTTTTCATTTCAGCAACTGAACAGCCAGAATCCCTACAGCAATTGGTCCATAACATATCCGATGAACACAACAAAACCCGGGGATTATCGGGCAACCGTAAAGGTTGACAAAAACTATGTTTTCTGGATAAATATAGCCACCAATCATGTGGATTTCAAACTGGACGAATCGCTGGGCGGCGAACTGCGGCTACTGCAAAACGCTACCAAGCGCAAAAACAATTTTGTATCCATAGCGAAGCCAGTCAACCACACGGTGCAATTACGGCCAAACGATGCAAAATTTCTCGCCGATAAGGCCTATGAAGTGCAAACGTATTGGTTCCGAAACTGCACTTATATAGGCGTGGTTAATGGACTGGATTATGTGGCGCAGTACACTGAACCGGAGGAGAGTTATAAAATTGAGGCATTGGTGCGTTTAATTTAATAGTATTTATTAAATATGTTTTTCTTAAAATTGTCTAATGCATTTTCTCTTTTTACTTGCTAGGTCGTGGCAACTTTTGAAAAACCGCCTGAACCAACAACTACCACAACAACCACTACGACTACGACGACTACCACAACAACTACACCAAAACCTACAACGACAACACCTACAACAACCACTAGCAGCAGCACCACCACTACATTGAAGCCCAACACCAGTACAACAACACCCAAAGTGCCACCGGCAAACTCAAATTCAACAGCAACAACTCCGACGTCTACGCATCGTCGTCGACGCGGTGCAGCCTCGCCAATATCATTAACGTCGCTTGTTGCAAATAAACCATTAGCGGCCAATCCAACAGTGCAGCATACTGCAGCCGCACCACTTAATGCGAGTATTCCGGTGAATGGATCCACCATCGCTACAAATAACACATCAGCGTCTAAAAAGATTGCATTGCCCATACTTATGTCACCACTGTCGATGGACGAAGAACCGCCCTATAACTGTGCCACTGAGCAGTTTTTACAGAGAGATCCTAAAAAGCTATATGGCCTATTCAAGCACTATGTCTACACAAAAGGTTAGTATTGACTTTAAAATAGGAAAAAATTATTAAGTGAAAATTAACTGCCGACTGTAAGCTAATTCCTGACTGTAGGAACGGCCCTAAATAAATAAAATTTCAAAAAAACTTAGCATTTATTACAACTGTCTTTGTTGTAGCACCCGTATCCGACTTCAAGGCTAATGGTCAAAATTGGCTACAACGTGGTGATATGCTGCGCCTTCAAGTAAATTGTAAAGGCTCTGCTTCGCTGGAAATGTGTATTCAGGTGTTCAATGGTGAGTGACATTGCATGTTGCTTTCTTGTTGTTATTCTCAAAACCAACTTATGATTTCTTCTCATTCCCGCTTAGCGCCTTATAACGCCACCGGCAATGAGACTTGTCGCTACTATTTCCCGCTGGATAAATGCGAATATAATTATACACGTTTTTTCCTTGAGAGCAAAACAGTTCTATTTTTCCTACGCAATGAAGTCTCTGAGAAGTTGAATCAGGTCACCATCAACATTTACGAAGGTACGTGATAAGCGCGGACGCATCACATGAATCCAATGCACACTTGTACATATGTATATATTGATATGTATGTATATTTGGCGATTACATTTTGAAATCGAAGCTGATAATTGATTGTAATTATTTAATGAAATACCTCATCTTTCTATTTTATTTAGCAAAAGTGCAATCACAATTGTCCGTGGTGGTGGTGCCTGTGTCATTCACTTTGATCGCTGTAATATTAATAGTTTTCGGAGTTTCTTACTACATACAATCACGAAATCGGTAAGTAATTTGGCTTTTTTTTTAAATTTGGCAATGCAAGCATCTGGAAACTTCTGATAGAAATTTTTTTGATTTCAATTAAGTTTACTTTTTGCTTATGGTCCCTTTAAGGCTACGGGTCAAGATGGTATCATCTCTGTTCGATGTTCGTTTTTGTTCTAGCAGCTTCTACAGAGTTAATTGTAGACGATGCCCATATTCCTAGTATGAGTACTAACCAGCAAATGTCCAGTAATAATCTCCGTTAGATTTCGGTCGCGTGTTTTGTTATTTTTTTTTTTTTGTTGTTTACGAGCTAGATGAGTTTGGCTATAGGGCATGTTGATGACGATGGTAGCATACGCCACTTATTAGAAGAATTTTCTCGATTGAAGTCTATATAGAACGTTCCCTGGCTAACACATCAGCAGTCTCAATCTCTTTTGCATTTATAATGACGATATACACACATATTCTGCATATTTTTTTGGAAGATTTTTTTTTTTTATAAAAATCCGCGGTACAATAGATAATAAGTTCATGTGACGTAGTCGATTTTAAATAATTTCCTGCATCAATACCTCAAATAACCACATACTTCTTTTTTTCGCTTACAGCTTCACAGTAGAGGTAGCCGATTTCAATTTTGGAGAAACGCAATCTCTCGATATGGAGTATAAAACGTTTCAGCAACGACTCGTCGACAGCATACGCGAAGTGTGGCCATGGCGGCGACGTTATAGCGAATTCGGCTCTGACATGGATCCAGAACTAGATCACAATGGAGGTATTGGTGGCACATTTGATAATAGCGAGCAGCATGCTGCTATCGTTGAAAGTGGAGAAAATGAAAGAAATGCTACAACAACAACAAGCGCCGCCAATGGCAATGCAACTATCGATAGCAATCTCAGATATAATTCGATGACTTAAAGATAAAATAATGAAATAGTGATTTATTTTTTTCTTAAAATTTTTAAAAAAGTTTGAATTTCGATCGCAATTTGTATGTTAAGTATTTGTAGCAAGCAGAAAGCGGTAAAAGAATAACTTTTGCGGCGAAGATTGTTGCAATTTAACTAACAGGAATAAAATAACGAATGAAGATTTTTTTTTCTTTTTAAAAAATGTAAATGTACGTACTACATACATATCTGAAATTTATTATTTTTTTTTTTGCTAATTGCTATATATTTTTTGCAACTATTTCATAAGCTGTAACACGAAGTTCTCAGTTTTTTTTTAACAAATCCGCAGAAGTTCGTGTTTCAAACACTCTTTATTTGTATTTTGTGATTACATATTTATATTTACATATTCTCACACTATTTATACGATTTTTTTTTTGTTATTTTTGCTAGTATTTATCAGTATATGTAGTTTGTATATACATTTATTAACCGTTTATTATACGAACATCCCTTTACACCTACAACTTTATTGTATTACTTATTATAATTGTTATTATAACATACGACTATGCACATAAAACATCAATTTCATTGAAAACTTAAAATATAAAAACCAAAAATTAAAAACGAAAGATGAGCAAAAATTCAATTTCCGTATTTGCCAAATTTGTCCAATCAATTCAAAATGCTTTGCAAATTTTATTGCAAGCATGGCATGGCTCTTTTATACAAATAACAGTTTTTTTAATGCCTTACTTGCTGTAAGACTGCAACATTTTTTGAAAGAAAAATAAAGTGAACAAGTTAAGCCTATATTAGTGGTGAAAAAATGTGCATAGAACAGTAAAACTGCCTATTTCAGGCAAACAGTGTATGACCACTTTATAAGCGAGTTTGCATCTGTCGAAACAGGTAAATGTCTAAAGTTATCGATATCCAGCTAATGAGGTACTCATTGGAAATTGCATCATCGATAATGCGTACAATATTTTTCCATTGCACATTTTTACTACAGTTTACTAAACAATTTCGCTTTGTGGTATTCGTTTGTGATAATAAGTGAGAGAAAATTATGAAAATATTCAAATATGCTTTATAAATACCACTTTCTATGCAAGGAAGTGCACACACAAATGCATCACACAAATATCACACATATACATACCTACATACACACCTATTTAGACTAGAGCAAAGTCAGTTATATGGTAATAGAAAAAAATAATAATTTTAAATATGTATATATTTTTACAAATCTGTCCCTGTCTTATCTTTATGATATACACACGACAAGATCCTCGAACACATACATACACACATGCATTGCATTACAAATGCAACGATTACTAAATTCGATTTTGTTACCACACAAAAAAAAAAATAAATTTCGAACGTAACTACATATGTATAGATATGCAAAATTACACAACTAATATTTAAATTAACAGAAATCTTAAAGCTGAATGAAAAGTTGAAAAGGAAACATATTGAAGTACTATAGATAATTCGTACTAATCGTGCAATTATACACATTTAAACATAACTAAAATATATTAAGAATATGAAGTGGGCTCGCAAACATGAATACAAACATATGTTCATATGTTGATTGAAACATACTTGCATCTGACTAAAATTAAGTATACAATCATTCAATAAATGCGTAATTAAAAAAAAAAACACATAGCTTAAGTTTTATTGGATAACTGATGAAGTTCTTTAGAAAAGAAAATAACCTTCACTTTGTTTTCAACTCTACTTGTACGTGGATCTAAAAACAGTAGACTATTTTACTCGATCGTTAGTAAGGGAAATATTACACTGTGCGAAAAAAACAAAAAACTTTCAAAACACACGAAGCAGTCAGTATGCTCACCAAAGTATGAACCAAATATTGTATACAGCGTTTTTTAGTTTTTTCAAGGACTTTGAGATTTATACTTTTCATTCAAACGTCCTATACGCGTAAACCGAAGCATCAAAGATGGACGACGGAGGTATTGGTGCAGGCGTAATTATACCAAGATTCCAGAAAAGTCCGCCAATGTACGCATACCAAACCATATTCCTGGCGGAAGTCCTTCGCAATCGCAGCCTGTGTTCGAGAAATATTGGGTATCATGCAATAAAAAGTGAGCTTAAGCTCCTACTCGATTTTCAATACAAACTCTTGACTTTGAGCTCACTTCATCAGTTCAAAAACTGACTCTGGCCTTAAGCTTACTATTATGCATGAGGCCCATCTTGACGTATAGACAGGCAGTGTTAAAGGCATTCGACTCATTTAGAACGACTTCAAGGCTTGTGGACAGTTGTAAAACTCGCTTGTACCGCCTAGGGGGCCACAATAGTGACGCTGTAGTGGGTCCCTGGACCCGAAGGCTATGAAAGCAACGAAAGAGCTGACTATCTCGCAAAACGTGGAGCCCAAATGCGCTTGCATGATCCCGAACCTAAAGGATACACTGCAGAGCTACGTCGAACTGGGAAGAATCTCAAATTGCTGCCCACTGGCGGGACTCAAAAGGGAATGAGGAAATCAAAAAAATTCATATTTCCTTCCAGGACGAAGTCCGAAAGACCCCTTGAGTTTAGCCGGGAACGTCTTACAACTCTTACAGGCTACCTGAAAAGACACTGCAAGTAAAGGTATTGTTTCCCATAATCATCGGTACAGCAGACTTCACTTCAAAGGCCTAATGCAATAAAACTTTATACAGATGACTCTGAACTAGAAGGAAGAATAAGAGAAGGAGTTTCTCACCTAAACCGGGGGGTAGAGATATCTTTTCGACTCCACGATCAATCAACTGGAAGTATTGGATATCTAAGAGGCAGTATGGAACCCCCCACTCGCAAGACCTACAGAGAGGAAACGGGTGATTATTTTTGTTTCAGTGTCAGTCCCTCGCCATATATTGATTTGGGTCGTTCCGGTTACATAGACGGGACTGTTGCGGGAACGAGAGGAAACAAGTATTCTTCTTCTTCTTTGATATTTATGAGCTCTGAAAGCTTACATTCACACATGAACAATGAAATGTCATTTGGCTGAATAGCGTTGATCTCTGAACGAGATAGCCCAGCATTATGCATTGCATTCAACTTATCTGGGTGCTAGGCCAGCAGGATATTGAGGGTAAAGCTGAAAATGAATATACAAGTAAATGTATGACCACCAACATGCTATCGGGAAAACACCCGGTAGGTATGCCAATGACCACCTTTAAGCATTTTTTTTAGAGCAAACACCATTCCAGTAGCAAATAAATGCAGGAATAAACTCGTACGTGTCAACAAAATGGTTTGTACCCGAGTGAGCTTTTTTGAGCATCGAAAGAGATTGGTAATAAGTAATAGGTATAAAACATATGCAGGTGATCTAGGTATATATGTATATTGACGTAAGTGTTTGGAAAATTTACTCTCCAATTATCCGATACCTTACCTAATATTATATCTTCTTGACTGACATTTTAATGACGGTTCTTAACTTATCGGTGACATATCGTAATCTCTCAGATTTAGTCCCAAAAAATCTGGGCCTCATTTTTCCTATTAGGCAAGTTTTGACGTAGAAAATTTAGCGTTATCGACCTTACCTTTAATCATGTTACAGCACAACTTTGCCTATATTGCAAAAATACGAGTATCTATTTATTTATTTATTTTTTTTACTCAATTATTAAACTTACTGTTTTTGCACTTTATTTTATTTTATCAATTAAAACATTGCGTACGCTTAAAAATTATTTTCGTTTTATTATTACATAATATATTTATTGGAAATTTAGTTTTTTTTTTCTTCGTCTTAATTTGCAACTTAATTATTTTTATTTTGGTTTTCGGTTTTACTACTACTACATAGTTTAATTACAATTACTAGATATAATTAAATTACCACCGCACGTTCCTGCCTACGATTTGTTCAATTTGTTTGGTTTTTGTTTTTGCTTTGAGTTTGTTGTTGTTTTTTTTGTTATTTGTTCGCTTTTGTGTTGTCATTTTTTGTTCTTTGCTATCAAATTAATTACATAATGATATTTTGCCTTGTTTGTTTGCTTTTTGCTCTGTTATTGCTGATTGATGTTTTTGTTGTTCTTATGAAATGTCCAATGTCAAAGTTAGCGCTAATAGTTTTGTTTAATTAAGCATTTCAATTTGTATGAATGGAGAATTTTTGCATTTTATTTGATATTTGCTTCAAAAACCCAATTTTTGCGAAAAACACAATAGAAAAAAAAAACATTTTAATTAAACAAGGAACCAATAAAAATACTAATTGCATTGTGTCATTGCAGTGGCTGATGTTGAACTACATATTTCTTAAACACAATTAATTTTTTTTTTTGTAATTTAGGAAAGCCTTTTGAACTAAACGGTCACGTAAAATGGAATAGACACAGACAACTTTTCACAATGTATGCAAAAATTTTTCGTCCGCAAACTTTTTATAAAAATATGATTCATACTACAATAAAAAACATGAAAATTAAATTTCTAAACTTCGCGCAAACTCAATAAATTTTCTTAAAAATTAGCCCAATTAATTTTGATATAATAAAGTGCAAGTTCGAAGTAGCTATAGAACTTAGCGTTGATTTTCGGCAATTTTTTGCTGGCGGTGTTGTGCAGTTTCTTCCATATAGTCGAAAATACTTCCTAAAATTTATTAGGCTACAAAACTGCTTAATGATCTTTTTTTTAAACTGATTAGAAATTTGCATGTTATTGAGTTTTAGTGTTACTTACTAAGTGACTAGTAAACAGTTTCTATTTTATAAAATAATTTTATAGCGTTTCAATACAGGAAAAAATTTATTTTTATAAAAATTTAGCGGAAAAAATTTTAAATAAAAAAGTGTGCGTACTTTGTGAAAAATTCTCTGTGCCTATACTTTTCTCCATGACTGGTAGCAGCTGATAAGCGTAAGTGTAATAATAAAGCTATAAGTATAGATATGTATGTACGTATTTCAATGGAGGACTATTTTTAATCAGTCTGTGCCTTAGACTTTCGAAGATATTAATGCGGTTGTTATTTTTGTAGAAACTGTATTGCATTGGCTTGTTTAAAACAAGTTGTTAACAACAGCATTAAACACAGGCTGTTTGTAAAGAAAAATTACAAATTGTCTGCTGGGCTAACACTGCCAGTAAGGTTCAGAAGTAGGGTGTTCGATTATTAGCCTTTTTTCAAAACCGGTTTTCAAGTTATTCGAAAAATTGCAATTTCAAAAAAATCCGGTTGCTGATTTTAAAATTAAGAAAAAACCGTATAAGCCGGTTTTATTTACTTAGTCTTCATACAGTGAAAATGCTTATTTTGGTATCAAGTCATGACCAATTCAAAGTAATTTTGTATATGGAAAAGAGTGCATAACACCGTCAGAAAAAAATTATCAAAAATCAAAACGGTTTTTTAGCAACTTCAAACTTGCTCTTTATTATACAAGAATTTAATAATTCTAGAAATAAAAATTAAAATTCTTGGAATTGGGACGAAAAGTTTGTGCAGTTTTTATAATTTGTGTACAAAGTCTGAAATTTAGATTTATATGGTATTTGTTAGATAAAGAGCTATACTTATACATATATAAGAATAATGGACTTAAAAAAAAAAGCAAAATAAAAGTAGTTAAAACCAGTAAAAATATTGATGTGCTATCTTTTGTCGCGGGTGTATTATCTTATAAGACTTGCTAATGGATAAATGTGGTAGCATTGTGCCTGTGAATTTCCACACCACGGAATCGCCAAGAAACAGTTTGAACTTTCGGGAACGTTTCCAAAGAGAACAAAATGAGAACTAACTTATCAAAAACGTTTTCAAGGAGGATCAAATTAGAACAAAAGTCTGGGGAATGTTTTTCTAGAGAACAAAAGAGTTGGGAATTTAAAGTTAAAAAATTGAGGCCGGCGTCGGTGTATTGGGATAAAAAATTATTTCAATGAGAGCCATGAATGTTAATTCTAACCCAGAGGAAAGCTGGATCATTTCGATTTCCAGATCGTTTATTATTAGTGCGCACTCTCCATTTATGAAACAATTTTTCATTTTCTGTGCAAGTAAAGCTCGTGTCGTAAGTCTTTCGTTGACTTAATGTGCATAATTATCTTTTAGTTCCTCTTTGATTAATTTTAATATACAAACTTTTCAAGCTAATGGAACGCAATGAGAAAAATTATATTCTCGTCATTTCTGCACATTTGCAAAAAGGCTGGTGTTTACTCGTGAAAGTGGACTTTCGCTTTAGTACTTTGACAGCAAAATGCGTAGAAAAAGCGCTTGCATTTCCACGTTCAACCGCACTTTAATTTTTAATATTTTTCCGAAAGTCTTAAAATATACACCCCTATTGCGAGTGTCGAATAGTAGTAGATAAACGACTCTTATTCGATTATCGCTTTTCCATGGTATTGTGAATGTCAATTTCTCGTCCAACAAGCGACTGTGAATAGTTTTTTATCGCTCATCCTTCTACAAACAAATAGTTGTAGAAAGATGAGCGACTATTCACACGCACTTATTGAACGAGAAAAAGACTTTGAAAATGCCACGGATAATCGATAATAGACTAACAATCGTTTATCTACTACTAGTCGACACTCCCAATAGGGGTGATAACAATTTTTTAATGCCAATAGTGATCCACCTTAACGGACATACATATACTGTGCTCTGCAAAAGTTAGGACTCACTTTTTTTGTATTTGTCGCTTTAATTATTGTCATCATCGTAGAAGAAACACCCCCATACGTTTACCGATCGCAACAATGGTTTTTTAGCATCGACCGGTCCATACAAACCAAAACGATTTTTCCAAGCGAGTCCAAACTTTTGCAGGGCAGTGTATGAATATATAAATTTTATTTTGAATCCTTTCACAGTTTATTTCATATTAATATTTCAAGTTAAGTAAGTTTTTATTTACATAATTTAATTATCTTTATCAAAAAATTCCACAACTGTGATTGAATAAAAAAATATATAAAAACTACAATATTCAATATTCAATTAGAATGGCAAGAAGGGGTAGCAAGTCCGCGTAGCTGCTATAATGTCTACACAGAGGGGTAAATCTCTTGCAGGATGACGCCAGTAGATAGGTATTTGCTTGACTTTCGGCCACAAATCCTGTGACGCGTAAGTGTAGCCACTTTTTTAGGCAATTTAAAGAATATTGCGAGGCTAACAGAAACTATATTTTGACCTTAACCTGAAAGTTTGTAAATAAAATAATGCATTGAAATAAAAATACAAAACCATATTTTTGATAATTTAACATTGTTTATATTAGATAAAGAAAATCAGAATATTACAAAAACAAAATACATATGTATACAGTAAAATCAATAAACATACATATTTATAAAAACTTAGTCAAAATAAAATCAATAAGTAGTGTAAACAATTATAACTTATTTTAATGCAATTTACAATGTTAATATTTACTGTAAAGGGTAGTAGAATAAAGAAAAAAATTAATATATAAAAAGTAAACATAAAGTACTTAAAAGTACAAGTTCATATATAGAACAAAATTTAAAATTCAAACCGAAATTGTTTGCTCAATACATATATGACCCAATTTGATACTTAGACGCACTCTGGAATAAGGTAAGAATAACCTAGTGATAGAAAAAAGAATTTTCTAAAAAGAAAAACTTGAAACGACTTTTATCGCAGGGACGAGAGAGGTGGAGGAAGCCGAAAACTTACTCGGGACTCATCCGTTGTCCCACGATTAAAAATCTTTCATAAAGTTTTCTTTCAGTGTCTAGCGGCACTTGCCTCTGTGGACATGCGCAATCATCAAATAGGAACGTGCCACTGGAGGCGAGGGGCAACAACCGAAGCCAAAAAAACTACATATTATCAGCTATTTTAAATCGAGTAAATACTAACATTGTAAATAACATCTAATTATGATTAGAAAAACGTGATTGGTATACATTATAGGATGAGGTCTATAGTCAGCACGTTCGGATATTACATAAATAGGTAAAAAATCGGAACATTGAAAATACATACATACAAATATGTTTGTTTGTATGTATGTTAATACAAAATTGTTGTACAAATTATACAATTAACTAGCAGTGAGTAGTTTGTAAACAGTAAATTGTTGATATGTATGTATGTTTTTGTTTTCATTTTCGTTTTCGATTAACTCAGTATTAGTATGTAAATAATATCGTTAAATAATTGTCTGTCTTACCAAACAAGTATGGCTTACTGAAGCGCTATCGGAAACGGACATTGTTAGAATATAGTGACAATATTAAAACTTTTAAACTTTTTTTGAGCAAAAGTTAAATTTACTTCTTGATTTTGAGGCTTTGTTCTAAATTTGTTTTCCAAACAAAAACGTTTGTACGAAAAACGTAGGCTTGGGACATGGTACAATAATTAATTAATAATGGTACAATGGGTTTGGGATACTTTTAATAATTTAATTTTCAGGACAAAGTGTGATAAAAAAAATTTCGTAAGACAGACTAGTCAGTTATACACATGTATATACTTACATATGTACATACATATGGAAGTGTAAATATACCACGCAAAAGGCATGTGCTGGCGACAAAAAAAAACAATTTAACAGACTTAACTAAATCTGCTATACATTTGTAATTAATACATTTAAATGTAATTATTTTTTACTTTTTCTTATTAACTTAGCTTGTACAAAGAGAAAATAGTTGCATATATTAAACAAAAAAGAGAACAACAATAAAAAAACAATAATCTTCCTATTAGGTATTTAGTATGTTTGTTTTTTTTTCGCATTGGTACATTGCCAATTGGGCTTTAGAAAAAGCTGTCTCAATATTTTGTTTTAACTCTGATTAAAATAATAGATTTCACCGGCCTATAAGTAAATAAGTAAATATTTCGCAGTTTATAACGCAAAAAAAAAAATCAGTTCATGGGGTTATTCGAGTATGTAGTAGAATATTTCGAGAAAACAAAAACAACAAGGCATCAAATATGGTTTTAGCGACATACTCGTTTTAGTGTGTAAAAAGAAATTCAAAACATATGAACTTATTAAAGGGAAAATATGCATTTAAAAGTGTACAAATAATGTGTAAGTATGTACGATTTATGTTGTGGCTGTTCAACATTTAAGCAGTCGCCAATGTGTCGATTTCACCGAGTATCCCCTATATAATTTCAGTTACAACATTAAATATGTATTCGAGATATGGTGTTATGCTTTTGAGTAATTTCAAAGGATAGCATTATTTTTTAAAATTAATATCATATTTGTGGAAGCATAATTATTTAGCATAAAAACCATTTCTCAGGGGCTAGCAGACCCGGTGTGTGGACTACTTGCACTTCTGTTTTGCCAAGTAACAAAATGTTTGGCATCTAATTAGCGAACCATTAGCGAAATTTGTCGTTTGTAAAGATTTAAACAAATTACTAATGAAAATTAATAATATCACTCGCTTTAAATTTAAAGTCAATGTGAGGGAAGCATCATATTTTTCTGCTTAGTCATATGCATTTTTTTTATAGCTGCCTGCAATTTCTTCAAGATGTATATATGTATGTATGTATGTATATATGAGTATATGTGCGGGAGTATGTAAGAATAAATGTTTGTATGAATATACATATATATGTATGTTAAGTGTATATGTGTGTACATGTAAATATGTGTTTATAAAAAGTTAATTGTGACTATAAGTATTGTATGTGGGTATATGATTTGGTTCACGTATTCATCGTCGTTGGATTCGTTCGATTCATTGGTAGGTCCATGAGCGTGACTTTACATTAATTTTCCAGATTTTCGTTTATAATAGTTTGTTGCTTTAAACGTTTTACATGTGTTTTAATACATAGCAACACTTTTTTAATTGTTTTCATTTTGCTTGTTTGCTACAATTTTTTACGCTTACATTTAATTAGAATTTCTTACATTTTTCGTACGTTTGATATTAATTTACTTGTTTTTTTTTACATTTTGTCGTGGGAAGTTACACCAATAAAGAAGCAAACAAAAGAATACAAAGTAAGGAATGCATGTAGATGATTTTAGGTCAAGTGGGTGGTCAACTAAAAAGTTACAGGAGATACATATACATATATGAGATACAATTTCTGTGCGCAACTATGCATTTTCGAAGACAATGGCAAATGTATGAATACATAGTATGCTTATGTGTGTGTTTATATATGTATGCAAGTGCATAATTGCAATGTACGTCGATTATAGATGAATATACATATGTGTAGATATAGTATGCTTGTAGGTAACTATGAAATGCTAAACGGTTAAATACGATCACCATGAATACATTTATGTTGTTATATGTACTTGTTAAAATTGGTTATACAAATGATATCAGCTCATTAGCATGCCAAAAAATATGTATGTATGTGAATATTCGAGTGTATTTGTGTGTATCGTGTGTTCTATTCAAGTTCAAATATGTATCATATGCGTGTTTTACACCTTAACCGCGGCGGCGCCGTCAACGCGTGTCAGTAAAATTCGAAACTACTGCCAAGTTTTAGCGCTTGCGAAATTCAGTTTTGATTTACATTTGAATTTGATATGCACCTAAGTATTTTTGATTTAGCGGTCAACAAATTTCCACAGAGAAATACACCACATTTTGTAGCTTTATCACACAAGATATTTAAAAAAAAAGCTACGTTACAGCACCTGACAATCTACAAAGGCTGCACGTGTATATGTACTTTGTTTGTATGTGTTTTTGTATTCGTTTTTTGTATTCGTATGTGTTGGGATTCTGTGTTAAATTAGTTAAACTGCTTTCTTCCAATTTCAGCATTGTTGTTTCTGTCTGTCTAGTATGTTGATTGGCGGCAATGATGACAATATTACACACTTATAATTTTGTATACTTTTTGTTTTCCTCGTTCATCTTTTAAACTTTACGATTTACTGTTGTTTGTTTGCTGATTTATAGATATTGTTGTTCTTTGTAATAGTAGTAGTTTAGTAGTATTATATCAGTAGAAATCGCATAATTTACTTAAATGTCTAAAGAACGACGTCAGGCAGGTCGTGCGGCCTGGCCTAGGCGCGCATATGGTTTTCATGTACAATTTTTCTCTCCTTATAATAGATCTCCTCCGATTCCTTATCGCATAGCAGTAGCACAACGGCGCCGAATAGGAAGATAGCTGCACCCCAGCCAACACCATAGGCCCAACCAAATTCCCAAATTGGCCGATTCGCTGCAAAAAATAAAAAAAATATCCATTGTATATAAAGAGAGGTTAGAAATAAGAGAAGGAACATTTAAAGTTAATGTCCAGTGTAACTCACCCAAATTGAGTTCGCCAGCAAAACATACTGGATATATTATCAGCGCAGACAGGACAGCCAACACTAAAAGTATAGTATGAATTTAATATTTTTTGTATAGGTTTTGGCTTCAAAGGTTAAATTAAGAAATAATACATATGGTTATCAAATGTGCATTTACAGAGCATTTTTCTGGCAAATGTTAAAGAAGATAGAATAATCGTTCCCCCCCGACAGCCTACGTAGCCGGAACTACCCATATTTATATTTGGTCAAGGACTGTCACACCCGGCATCACTCCCCACAAACTCCGAAAAATTTGTATGCTATTGTAGTAGCATTGCTGTTGCAATAGCATACAAAGGATGATTTTGACAAGTGTGAGTTCTTATCGAAGTTCTTGGTTTCTGTAGGTTGGGCTTTCGTGCAGAACAACTAAATGAAGTCATAATTTTCTTAGCACAGAAAAAATTTGCAATTGCATAGTTCTTTCATCGAATGACACAGTCGCCTCGCCATTTGAAACATTCTTTTTTAATCTCAAGAGAATATACATAGATGGTAAAATTCACTAAGCTATTCATATTTAGGCACTTACATGATAACAGCATCACCAGCACAGCGATTCTGTAGAATTTGTATTTGACATTGTGATTTTGTGTTCTCAAACCCAGGCCAGTGAGTATGGTGGCAATCACATCAGTTATCAATGTGATTATACATAGAGCAGCTGTGGCTTTGATGTAAGCTGAAAAGAAATTAAAAGACCAACGATTATTCTGAAGTCAAAACTATCCGATACATAAAATCAACCAACACCAACAAATATTCTACATATTTACTTACCCACATCACGACTAGCATAACAACCCGGCGGATCATGTAGATTGAATGGCAGCGGCGATTCAACATCTTCCTCAATGCAGTGCACAAAGAGACCCTGACGCCAGCCAGCAGCCATTAACCAGTCCGTGGAAGCTAATGCCATGATCATCAGTATGACAACGATGACACCACATATAAATGCAATGACCTAGAGCGGAATAGTAAGTGAGAAATTATAATTGTTTAGCATTTGATTAAATTTGTAGCGTAAAAGGGAGTTTGTGTAGTTGTTACAAACCTTCAATGGCCTTGTGATTGTAATGGTTTCAATTGTTGTTGTGGGCGCCATTTTTGATGGTGATGGGCGTTGCGAGCTGTATACAAAATAATGAAATGAAAGCATAAACGTTAATCTCAATACACTGCCAGAGGGGTGTATTTGAATGATTTAGGAAATAATGTACTTTTTTTTATCCCTAAAAGGTGGAAGCGAAGGAATACATAAATACATACCTTTTAAACTAATGCTCTTGAGCGTGTGTGTTAGTGGCAGGGAATTAGTGCACCCTTCTAACAAGAACAATAACAACGCAAGCGCAACAACACAATGTATGCTTGCATGTACAGCCAATGGCTTTGGCTTAGCCTACAGCTTTTTCGTGTTAAACGTTCGTTTTTTTTAACTATAGCGTCTTTTTAATTACTGCACTCAGTTTTTAACTGATTTTTTTTTCATTTTTTATTTCCACACATTTCATATTTTTCTTTTCACTGCGGTAAGTGTGCGTTAAAGTTCTTTTTTAGTTCAATATTTGCGCTTAATTGTATGCCAATTTTAAATGCAAATGTTTTATTTGCTTTAAGCTGCTTAAGATCTGTTAATTTTGAGGGAAGAGAATATATAAAATAAGAACAGGTTCATTCAATTAGTATTATCGAGAATCTAAAGGGAATTTCAATAAATAGCAATTCAAAATTGATTATCAATTTACAACAGAACCATGCAATAACGAAATGTGGACTTAACACACTCATACACAGCATTCTTTTCGGACAAAATTTTTTTTAATAACTCTTGCATTATAACTATTGCAATCGAAATAGATTTAAAGCGTGTTTTTTATCTTACAAAATTGTGTAGCATTTGTCGGCAAATATGTATGTACGTATGCAAAACGCATTGTGATTGGAAAAAAGCAGTATAACAATTGATGATGCAAAATAAAACAGGTCTACAGTTGTTTACCTACAACCGGTAATTCATCGACTAAATGTATGTTTCTGGACCATCGCTTTAATGATCTTAGCTAAAATTTAAGAGAAGTAAACGTCGACAAATAAACGACGGCTCCACAACTTCTGCTTCTTATTTTACTCCTCAACTGGTGCAAGAAATTTCACGTTGGCGTTTTGTTATCAAAGAAGCTCCTCGTCCCTGAAGGTCCATCGAGGTTGACGAAAAAAGGCATTTATTAAATCGAACCCACATAACACGATACGAGAAAGTGCAGAAACATTTAAACATGTCAAACAAATGTTCGATTTCGCCTAAAGAAGCAAACTCGAGAAATGGACTATATACAACAATGTGAAACGTCAAGGGTTTTGTCGCCGATGCGATGATTCACCTCAAATAACTTCCAAAGCCGATATTTACTTAACGAAGGTTATTCTCCGTAGGATGGGAGCACCGAGCAATCGGTTGCGTAGTGCAAAAGCATGACGAATAAATTAAAAACATACAAAAATACGCAATGACCTCCTACTCCACCTCTTACTAGATACTAAGATCATAAGCTAAAATTTAAAATATGTACTATCGACAGCAAAAGTGCCTACATGCATATAAACACGTTGACACACTCAACGCTACAGAAGATTGGATCCAAACAAATTACTAAAATAACACAAATTGTCGTTGGTGTGTGGTGATATGAATAAAGAGCATAGAAATGGATGAGGGAGTGTACCAAGGTACTGTGTTAAAGGGCGCAACTTCCGCATTTGAATACTTTGTTTATGTTTAAAAATAGAATAACAATTAAAAAAGCTACACAGAGCTGAAGTAGAAAGACGGATGTATGTATGTAGTATGTACACATGTACATTTTGCTGTAGATAAATGCAAACTATGGAGCATATGATATGCAGATGTAGCTAAAAGAAACCAACAAAATATGCGCAAGGCATGTTAGAGCATCAAAAATATGGCCACTTACAAAAAATTCGTTTCATTTCACATGGACATTGTATGCACTTACATGTGAATGTTCGTTATTTTTAGAATACGTAAATTTGCATGTAAGAACGATGGTTTTTTATTTCCGTACAATTACTAAATTCGTATAGGAATTACCAAATAGGGCGCATACATGCGGGTAGCAACAGTAATAAGAGAACATAAAACCCAAAAACAGCAAGCTTAAAATATGTATTTATTTGAAAAGTTACACGCGAGTGATGTGTAAATAAAAGAATATAAAATAATTTTCATATTACTGCTAAAAAAATATGTTAATTATGCGCGAATAAATAATGGATGTTTGTAAGTAAATAGTAGCGCATACATACATAAGTATGCCTGTGTAGCGAAGCAACTGCAAGCAAAACAATAGGCAGAAAACGTTTGGGGAATGTAATTATGGGCAGATGAGATAGATGTGGCTTATGTATGTACATATGTATGTATGTTCCTATGTATGTACATATGCGCAGATCTTTGCATTGTGCAATATGTAGTGGCAGATGCAAAGCCATGTACATACATACCAATTATTTTTTATACACATCCAGGTAGACAGACATTTGAAATACAAATTGGCCTACCTTCTCACCGGACATTGGCGTACCTTTCTTTGAAGTAATCCAAAGTAACCGATTCTGAGTCAAATTCTGAACATTCAGGCAGAGAATCACTGTCGAAGGAACTAAATCCACCCAGATTTATGTTGGCAATTGCATTTTTGCTAAAAACAGATTGTTTTGGTGGTTGGTTCAGCTGTGTCTGTTGCTGCGCCAACTTGTCTCCACCTGCGTCTCTGCTAGACATCTTCGTTGTTCGTACACAAAATTATGCACTTATACGGAGACACTTGAAACGATAGGAAAGTTAATGTTTTCCACAAATTTGATATTTTATCATCAATACAAATATGTAAATTAAAAAACAATTTAGCACTTTCTCTTTTATCTAAAAAATATTTTCGCAGATTGTTCCTTGAGCCTTGATTTCTCCTTTCCCCTTCGAAATTGTCTATTTTGAATCACACATCCATCCACACGCACATACACACCAAAATGGCGACAGTATCACTGCAATTCGCTACTTTTCAATGTCATTTTTGCAAATTTTACACATATAACTTAATGCACCCTTACATTTTCAATAGATCCACACTCCGCTTTATCGTTTAGCAAGAAGATTTAAATTTAAATAAAAACTAAATTATAAAAAATCAACGTTTTTCTACTTTCTCGTCGCACATAAACAATCGTCTCCGAAAATTTCTCCACTTTGCTGCTTCTTTTAGAGCTGGGATACTATCGATAGTTGAAAACTGTCGCCCCTGTCGATAGTTTTTGAAAACTATCGATGTCGGTTTTAGCAAGACTTTACAATGTCTCATCTTCACTTCTCTACACATTACATTAGTTTTTTTTTATTCAAGATACAGTAAAATGGTAAAATGTTAATAATTTATAAGTATAAGTTGTCAATTTAAACGGAAATTTTTTATTTTGTTTGTTTTGTAGTATTATAAATGTATTTTTATAGCCAATTTCACTTTTCGAAAGGGACAAATAAAATTCGAATTTAATTTTGCCATATAAAAAATAAATTCAGATTTTGCCTGTCGCTCTTCAAGGCATATAAGTTATATAATTCAGACGCATAAATTGATAAGTTTATTTTATTATTATAAGAAGTTCTTTTTGATGCACTCAAATTTAAAAAAAATTACACAATCTCTTTAATTTGCAAAGTAATTTATACATTTTATAAATTTATTAATTATTTAATTTTCAATCGTTTCAATTCAGTACCTTTCACGACGATAGTACTATCGATACAATCGATGTTTTCAACTATCGTATCGAAAACTATCGAATGGCGGTACAATCGATAGTATCACAGCACATGAAGAGATGAATTCGCTGCAGTGTTGGGCATTAAATATTGAAGAGTCCGCTAAAAGCTTAAACAGACGGCTGCGTTGATCAGGTCTAACTCAGAATTGATCCGTATCAACTGCAGTTAATTCCCGTGTTGATCCGGATAAACGATGCCGTCTGTTTATGCTTTAAAAGCGATTGCAAAATGTTTGTGTAAATAAAAGGGCGTTTCCACGCAGCCCTAATTGGGCAATTTCGAAATGAAATTGAAGGTTTTTATAATAAATTCAGACAAGCTTAATTCAGTCAATTAACGTTATTATTGAGCTCTTCCTTATTGTCACACGCAGTAAGCTGCTGTTGCACTCATGGAAAAGTTGGTACAATCGTACTTTCATTTAGTTTGAAAGTACATTCGGTACAAACACACTATTTTAGGTACATTTTCGTTCAAATTTCTGGTGTGGCCATCTGATAAAGTGAAATTTACCCCGGTGTAGGTATAAGAGTGAGAAGGAACATTTGACACTATATTATTTGAAAATTTACTTGAAAAAAATTCTATAAGAATTTCAAGAAAATTAAGAGAATAAAGCGAGAGAGCTGTTTTATTACTTACATCACCTGTTTATAATTTCCCCATGCGCCTTGATCAAGAATCAATTTCAATCTCAATTTCGATGACAGTTTGTTTATTTTGTTTTTATTTGCTTGTGATTGACCTTCGATGTTCTTCTTTTTATTTATTTACAATTCATAATAATAATTTTCGGAGTTTATTCGTGAAGTTGAGGCAATTTCGTCTCAATTTCGTTGAAATCATGCATGACAATGTAAACAGACATAATGACTATTTTTATAAAAGTAATGGCACAAGAATTTTTTAATGCCCAACATTGATTTTAAAAATGTTGTAATTTAATGGCTGGTGGAAATTCAGCATTAGTAAGAACATTGGTAAAAAAAAAACAAATATTCATTTGTAGAAGGTAGACTAATAAAATACGCTGTGAAAATCTGATTTTCCCAAATATTCAAATGTTTATAAAATGTATAATGCGTGTTTTATTTTACTTCTGGCCTCCTCATTTCGCCACCAGTAGCTGTCAGTTTTTATCGCAGACGTCAACAAGCAAATGTCTACCGCTGCGTGTTTGGCTGCGTGTGAGTGTGTGTAGTTGTTTTTTCTTCTGTTTGTGCTGAAATCGTCCATGAAGCTTTGCTTTTGTTTTGTATTATTAATCGAAATTTTTAATATAAATCGGGCCGGTAAATTTTATATATTAACCGGTAACAGCAGTAAAAATGGAGGCTACATCAGAGTCAATCAGCCGATTGCTAACAGGCGGCTCGGCTGAGGAGTATCTGCAGTGTCCTACGTGCGAGTGCAAGCTACAGCATTGGGAAGTGAAGCCACACTTTGACCAGGAAATGGAGCGCTTAAAACAATTACAAATGGAAGCAGTAAGTGAGGCAACTGTCGAGTTAACACAGCAAAGTGCTAGCAATACAGTGGTACATAATGAGGAGCGACGTAAGCCTTGGACTATATTCCAGCGGGTGCAACGAAATCGGCATACACGTCTCAGGGTATGTTGAATCTATAATAAACCATATTTACTTATTCTAGATAAATATTAATCTGCAGCGAAGAACTGGTAAACGCCCCCCACCACCAACCGAACAGCAATGCCCAGTGTGTAACGCCTCTTTCCCATTAGAAGAAATAGAGCAACATGCAGAACAGTGTCTACGCCGCACTAATGGCGCAGTCAATGGTCCTGATGGCGGTAGTTCAAGCAATGAAGACGAGAATGGCGAGGAATACGAAGAATATGAATGGGCTGGCCAAAAACGTATACGTGTTTCTAGTCTCTTACAAGGCGGTTATGCTGCAATCGGCGTAGGACAGTCTGTAACAAACCACAGCGCTGGCAGTGTCCCAAATAACACACAGATTGGCGACGAAGAGGAAGAAGATTTAAACGTAGACGAGGATGACACTCATCTATATGGGCCGGCGCAGTACGCTGAAGCTGACGTTATACCACCCATAGCGGAGGAGAATGGCAATAGTGCAGATGGTGATGTTACTAGTTACATGCGACGTCTAATAACTGGCTCTACCGAAACAACTCTAATGAGCGCTAATGCGACGGAGTTGCAACGCGCAATTAATAGTACTAATACGTTAGCTGCAAATATAGAATTAAGCATTCCACGGGCTGACCTAACTGCCGATTTGGTTTCTAAAGAAAAGCAAGAACTCACATCACATACTGTTGCGCAGCAATATAGTTCGCAAATAATAGAGTCATTGAAAAGTAAATTGCGACATTATGAAAATCAAGTGCAGAATAAGTTTAAATGCTTGATTTGCTTAGACGACTACCGAAATCCAGCTATATCGGTAGCTTGCTGGCACGTACATTGCGAAGAATGTTGGCTGCGCTCGCTAGGAGCACGAAAGCTCTGCCCACAGTGCAATTTGATTACAACACCAAAAGATTTACGTAGAATTTATATGTGAAAAAAGCGTAGTAATACAAGTATTTGGTAGAAGTATAATAAGTTTCCTACGTATACGGATTTTAAGATTTATTTAAATGCAAATGTTTTTCATTTCAGTACATTTGAATCAGTTTTATACAATTTTTCGTATTTTCATGCAAATTTATACACTTATACATTTGAGATAAGCGTGATATGTTAAAATAATATAGCTAGTATTTAAGAAAACAGATCCGAAGCTGTGTTGCAGTTACAATAAAAATACAAGACATTAAGCTGTAAGAAATTGTGGTAAACATAAATAACGAACACTTCATTGAATTTTTTTAATTCTACATCTCTGAAGCAAGTTGGCGAGGAAAGTGTAAGGGATCGAATAGTATAAGAATTTCTAAGACCCGTCGTTTTTTGCGGCTACTTAATCTTCCTTCAACACAAATGTCTTTAATCGTCGGAGTTAAATTGACGGTATTGAAGGCTTCTTGAATAAGAGAAGTTTAAAAGGCAGGTAAAGTGTTGATTAGTCTCATTCGGGTATCAGAGTAAGAGGTTTAAGGAATGCTGCTGGACCAGAGAACGCTGCTGGAGTGACCGACCTTATGCAGGTATACATACATACATACGTACATACATACATCCCTGTAGTGAAGATTTCAGTTAAAAGTAGTTTTAGCAAAATATTTTATGTTTAATTGGTTTTTGAATATCCGGCGGCAAAGGTTAGCCGCTTAAGCCGTTTTGAGGACTTTCGCCAATCCGTGCCCTCAAATTGGTGCTCCCTTAAATAAGAAAATATTTCATCTTCTGTTTTCATGAATCATTGTTTGCTTTTTTTTATCGAATACCTTGATTTTTAATCTAATCTAATAGCTTATTCGCTACTACTTTACCGTTATTCTTTAAATCCTTATTCTATTTAATTAAAATTGCAACCTCTTTTACATACAGTAACGCTACATAAATTGTACATAAATCTTTAGAAAAACCCCTCCCATTTACGGCAAGAGACCGGCATTTTGTAAAATGCGAATCTTGTGTCGCTTTTGTGGTTCCGTTTTTCATTTCCACTCTCATCTTTTTTCCGTTCGTAAATATTTACGACAGAGAACGTAATTAATTTACGATCACTCTTTCAGCAAGCCCAACACACACGCATGAACGAAAGACACAAGATCACGTAAGAACAAGAGATTTTTTTAGCGGGTTCTACGCCATCTTGTTTCACTGGAAAACGAGCGAAAAGTAAACAAAGCAAAGAAAACAACGAAAACCAAAATTAGCCAAAATTATTGTCAGCTACTTTAAACGCACAATTTAGGTAAAATGATGCAACAAAATGCTTTAAAATGTGTTGTCATGTTGAATTAACTCTTCTTTACTTGAATAAAAATGTAAAATAGTGGTGCTTGTGATGTAAACAAACGCTCAGCTGACGAACCCGCTTTCGCAAACTTTTTTCTCAAAACCAGTTACAAATACAACGTCGCGTTCTTACGTGATCTTGTATTTTTGGTTCATGACACACACGCAGAATTGAAAATATTTGTAAACGTTCAAAATGACCCAACAAGCATTTCAGTAAAGCTGATGCCAGATAAAACTTTGGGGCTTTGATATTTATAACTCTGACAGCAAAGCGCCAGACGCAAAAGGTATAACACAATGATCGCCAAGAAAACAGTTCGAACATTCCTAACTACAAGCTTCGAGTTGCCGCAACACAAGTTTCCGTGTCTTATTTCTCAGCTTATTTCACAAATTATTTTATGGGCACTGTCACACGGTCAGTATTTATTGACGTGATCAAAGTAACGCGATATTTATTGACGGTGTAGCATGCAGTATTAATAGATCGTGATCCATATCGCAACATTTCTAAAAACTTTGAAATCTGGATCGCGGATCGCAGTACCGTCAATAAATATTGAACGTGTAGCACTTTCAAAACGCGATCCATACATTTCGTCAGTAATCTTTTACTCTCATGATGCGAACATCGAAAAGATATTCACTCTGCCTTCATTCTAGGCGCTTAAAACCTTTCAAGTGAAATTGAAAAAATTTTAATTAACCTTGGAAATTTCAAAATAATTGTGGAATGCATGTAGCATCCGTGCGTGATCCATCAATCCATTAATATGGATCGCGATCCAAATATCGTGATAATTACTGACCGTGTGACAGAGTCCTATAACGCAATCACGTAAAAATTTCTGGGGTATATTTCGCCGCCAATTCGCAACAAATCAACGTCGTTTTCATCTGACAGCTCGCACGCTGTTTCTCCCTTGCCGCAGTAATTTGTAGCAACGCCGTTATTAAGGCGAATAGTTCGGCATCAGAGTCTGAACTTTCGACAACGCGGAATGCAATAGATTCGGAATCGGGAATGAAAACAAATAAAAAATATATATTTTTTATTACATTTTGGTGTAAACTTTTTTGGAAATATTTAATTTAGTACATAAGTAAAGTGTAAACGATAAGCGTAAGTAAATTGAAGCTAAACTTAGTGAGTTTTACTACACCAATAATATGCTGATACATTGAGGAGGAGGAGTATATATGTAGCAGAAACGGAAATGGTTGAAAATTGCTGGAAGCAATAGAAGAGCGAGCAAAAGAAGTGGCTAGAAACTTGTACAAAGTAGGAGAGGTGCAAAGCAATACGATAGTAATAGCAATAAAAATAAAAATATATACCTGTTCGTTGTGGAGGAGGTGGAGGATCTGCACGAGGAAGGCACCAACCAACGAAGAAGGAATTGAAATTGACGCAAGCAAAAAAGGCCATTAATACGAAGGCAACGGGCAAGTGAACGACGAAAAGCTGGATGTGCGCTTGCAGGAAAATCGCGCACAATCTGCCAGTCAATTTGTAGGCATAAAATACGTTTTCTGTGCGCACGAAAGTAGTTGGAGAGGCAAAAGTGCATAAGATAAATGAATAAAAAGTTATAAAATTATAATAACACGCAAAGTCAATTCAACGAAAAAGGAGCTATAAAGCAAAGTGGCTGGCTGGGCATTTGTGCGGTGCAGTATCGTGTCGCCATGTTTCTGTGTGTGTAATTGGGCGTGTTCATGTGTTTGTGCACTAGCAGTGAATACGGGCAAAGGCAAAAGTGAAAACTTGCTTTTTTGTCATCGTGGTTGCCATCATCGTGGCCGTTGTCGTTGTAGTCGTCGTCGTCGTTGTACCGTCGATGTATTTTCGCATTTTTCGCGACGGCAAAACTACGAGTGTATTTGGCAAAATAACCAGCCAACCAACCAAAAAGCCAGCCAGCCAGTTTTGGCCGCGGCTTTGTATTCGGCAATAAAAAATAAAGTCAAATTCCTGGAACTCGAATTCGCAAAATTGAAAGGCGCGCGCGTGTTTTTCGCACAAAAACCTTTAGAGGATATTTGCAATTCAAACCCACTTGAAAAATAAATTGCAAGTGTTTGAAAAATTATAGTGCTGCTTGCTGGCCAGTGAATTGGAAACACTCCAAAGTTTTATGTATATTCGCACAGAGGGGGGGCCATTCGTGCCAGCCATAGCATTTGCCACCGCAACGCTAGACCACAGCGGCGGGATTATGTCATTTTGTATGTGTTTGTGTGTGTGTGCGAAATTCCAACCAATTATTGAATCGGAGTGCCATCAAGCGCCACAAAGATTCTAATCTGTAAATGAACTATGAAATTTCCAATAGTGTTTTACTAAACTCATAAGTGTTAAAAAAAACGTACACGAAGATGTAGCGCAAACCAGATAAGTGTGTAACTAACAATTTTAAAATCATAGGGCAGAGAAAATCTGCATTTTAGAAAATGTATCCAGCGTATTTGCGCCGCAATTCTGTTGTTGGCGACGCAATCCACTATGAAGTACCCCACAGCACAAAAATCAGCCATTTGCATTTTAGCGACGGCATTTTAACACAAAGCCGCCGGCTATTTGAATATTTTCGAAAGCAACACCAAATGTAATTAAAAATCAAAACTAACACTTAACTAAAGAAACATTTGTAAATACTTACCTATATACATATTGTAATCCTGTTTGTGCGCGTAGTTAAATGGCAACATTCAATGGTCATAGTACTAACACTGCTGCTGATTTGCTGGGCTCATCGGTTGCCGTCGCTGCTGCCACAGAGCATTTCGAACGTAGCACAGCTGCGGCCACCACCACCTTCTTAGTGCCCTCCACAGCGGCGGCCAATGGTGCGCCATTGCATTTGGAACCTTTCAGTCTTGCAGGCGGCCCACACTTTGTCACAACAACTACATCACCATTGGGTGGTGCAACATCGGCTCAACACCATCAGCATCAGCATTCGCATTCACAGCAACAGCAACATCATCACCATCATCAGCAAACCAATTCAACTTCAACCAGTTATACATTTGTACAAATCAAACGCGAACCTTGCCAAGTTTCGGAAGTGACATCCGCCAATTGCCATCAAACACAGCAGCAACAGCATCATCATCAGCAACATCACGTGTCTACATCATCGACAAGTGGCGGCGGAGGTGGGCTTGGTGTTGGTGTTGGCATGGGCGTTGGTGTGGCCTCATCAACGTCCAGTTGTTCTGCTTCCATATCAGCCGCTTCCAAGACTATGTCCTCATCGTCCACGCTGACAACGCTTGTAAAGATAGAGGCTTCTTCGCCGAAGGTGAACGAAATGGATAAGACGTCAAATGTGAACACACTCACCGGAGCGGCCACAATGCCAAACACAAGTATGTTAATATAAAAAACAAAACAAAAAATAATAAATAAATTCATCTATTCCGTACAAGCATATTACCTATCTACATACAAACTATACTGTGATACAAACATAATGTTTACCACTCCTCACTCACTTTCCGTGAATTTTAAAATATTGGGACTACAGTGAAGCGTCTGCCTTTGTGGCTTTCTTTCGCACTTTTGTTTTTTGCTTGCAGATAACACAGTGCCCATTGGTATTGCCGTGGCGCGTAAGCGACCACAGGAAACGGCGGGCACACTCTCCAGCTCTACAGCCATCCCGGTGCAACAGACACTTAACAAGGATATGAATTGCTTTGGTATACGCGTAGCGGATCTGGGTAAGTTTCATTTATTCTTTGTCTGAGTGAAATACATATTTGTAAACATTTTAGAAGTTGCATACCTTAGTTACACACTCCCACCTTGCAGAATAGGATCTCATTTATACACATGGGTTGTTATAACTAAAATATTTAAGCTACGGTGTCTTGTTAATGTGTTTGTTGTTGTTGCTGTAAAAGCATAAATATTTTCCTAAAAGTTTCGGAGAAAGCATTCGATAAAGAATAGCGCTATGGTGAATTTCTTTCGTTGTGGTTGCTTACAATAGTTGCGATCCCATACGAGTCCCGACTAGTCAGAATAAGTCAGATTTTACTGGAAATCGGTCCCGTACTCGGTTCTCTGACTATTGAGAGGACAAAAAAGAGAGTAAATAAGGTCCTCTCTCTGTCAGAAGTTATCAGTTTTAGTCCGAAGATATTTGCAGGTAAATGCTGGTAAATGTGTCAAACGATCAGCTGTAGTGTGTTTGGCAACCAAATTGTAAAAAAATGCACTGCTAATTCATGTTGAAAAGTATTTATTTACTTGTTTAAGTGGATTATAATGAATTTGAGGGTATTTTTGGGTTTTTACATGTGTGAGCTGAGTGTGTTTACATACAAAATAAGCAAAAATTTACAACCAAAATTTGGAGGTTATGTTGAAGTTGACAGCAGTTACCTTTTTTTTACTAGAAAACAATCCCGTAGTTTTCAATGTTACTCTCTCGCTCTGAGCGAATTTTTATTTTTTGACAAGTTTACTAGTTTTAGTCCGAGGAATACGGGATTGCGCCTAAAGCTGATGCCAGATAAAACTTTGTTGCTTTGCGTGACATTTATAACTTTGCCAGCAAAGCGCCAGACGCAAAAGGTATGTCACAATGAACGCCAAGAAAACAATTTTGTACTGCTTTTTTAAGGCTGATTCACATACAACTTTCTTCGCTTTGCTTGATAGTTCTTTGCTTTGACGTATAAAATCGATGTAGGCATATGCCATGGTGGAATTATACAAGGTGTTGTACGTAGTGACAGCTCATGTCGACAGCTCCCTTACAAAAGGTTGTAATATGGAAGCACGAGAGAAACGGGAAGAAAAAAAGCCCGCTTTGCGAAGTAGTTCGAAATTTGGTACTATTTTTCATATAAAATTTTGCATATAAATAGTTACAAACGGTATATTATGATAAGCTAAATTCGCGAAAGTAGTATATATAACGTAGTACTTATGCAATAAATGGTAATTTAGTTTATTAAACACAATGTCCTATAATTATAGTCAAACTTCCAAAACCAAAAAATTAGTGGTGACCCCGAGTCGTTACATGACGGAATCGACAAAAGGGCGCATCGACGGATGGGGAGAATATTTCATCGAACAAAATGCCTACTAAAGATGTGGAGCTTGCATCGCAATGCAAGCTGCGACCGTTCTGAACTGAGATGCCAGACAAATGGTTTCTACAAATTGAGGCCACCTTTCAGTCGTACAAGACCACATCTTATGTCGGTAAATATAATCTGGTCCTCTCAGCAATTAGCAGCGATGCTTTAAAGGAAGCTGCGGATGTTTTAAAAACCTTACCAACTCAAGACCGATATATTAACCTCAAAAGTCAACTACTGTCACGTTTTACTGATTCAGCCGACCCACATAGGGTATTTGGCTGATTTAGGCATATTTTTATCGCTACAAACATCAAATATAGTTTTAGTTATCGAATAAAACATTCACTATAACTACCCTGTTACTAATAGAAAATTCAATCGTAGTGAAATCTTATTTATTGTCAATATTATTGTGGCTTATTAACATTTGTTTCCATATTGTTATTGAGCTTTGTAGCACTATTATGTTTTTAGGGAAAAGGGAAAAAGCAACAAAGTCTTAGCGGTAGAAGTTACCAAAAAAACAGTTATATCGTTGGAAAAGCAGGGCCAGTGGCAGTGAACCACAGACGGGATTGCAGCAGCAAAAATCACTGGGGAATAGATGCATAGTTAAATACGTAGTTCTTGTTTAAATCTTCCATCTAAACTTACCAAGAAAACAGTTATATCGTTGAAAAAGCAAGGCCAGTGGCAGTGAACCACAGACGGAATTGCAGCGGAAGGAAGCACCGACCAAAATAACTACAAATCTCTCTACTCTAAACCGATGTTTTTTTGCCGAATTAATGTTGAAATTTCTAATTTAATTTTCAGTTGCCAACGATAAGAATATAGTAAATGTCAAAGAATTGTTCAGTGATTGCAAATCAGTTTTGGAATAGGGAATGAGGTAGTTTAGTACTTTTTTAAAGGCGATAAAATGTAGTTTTTTCAAGAGGGAAACACCGATATAGCTAAGGGAGCCAAGATGGCGGATTAGAGCGAGAACGCTGTCAATATCCAACACCTTGTATTATTCCACCATGGGCATATGCATGAGTATGCTCACATAAAAAACGTTTGAAGCAAAGCAAAGCAAAACGAAGCAAAATCTTGGGCAACTCTCAACTTTTGCCCGCTTTGGCAATCAGCTGTCTACATTTATCTTTTCTTATGCGCTTGCATTTGCATTTAATAGGGGTAAAATAGGGTAAATAGGAATTTTTATTGCTATTATTAATGCATATTATATTGCTATCTATTTTACAGATAAAAAATATGTAGAAAAAGGAGAACGCAAAAGCTGTCAAAGCGTTTATTGTAGCATACCTTCTGCGTTTCGCGCTTTGTTGTCAAAGTTTGAACTGTCAAGCAAAGCGAGGAAAGTTGTATGTGAATGGTTCTTTACTCGTCAAAATTGCAATGGATTCTATATATGTATTTTGCTTTGAAAATATCAGCAATGTAATTAAGTTCAATGTTTCTGCATGAAAACTCGAATTTGGACGAAACAAAATAAATATTAAACCGACTGATTGTCAAAGCGCGCAAAAAGATGGGAGTTGGCCATCTTTTCGCTTTGCGTTGCAGCTTCAAGGATCTATGTGGCATGCTTTGTGCTTGTACCAGTTGGTACCGATTGTTACCAAATCGTGTTCGTTCGGCAAAAAACCAGTAAAAACTTGCAAAAAGAGAACACAATTTTGACATTTCATTTGGAGGGGAAGTTGCAAATTCGTGCTGGGAAAATTTTTTCCAGCAAGAATTTGCAAGCAGGATTTTGTCAACGTTAATTTGAGTCAACAAGTTCGTTAATTTTAAAAATGAACAATCTTGTTGCGACTTACTAATGAAAGAAGAATGAAAATATTTGTTTACTCAATTAACTTAATTATTTCCAAATATTTAAAAGGTACTCGGCTGAAAAAGCAGTATTCGGAACGCAGTCGACCCACTGTCGATATAGGAAATCCGACAGTGACTTCCACAAAGAAATTGAAGCGTATGTTGAAGAAAGTCAGAATAAGAAGAAATATACGTATAGGTCCTGTTTTTTTCCACCTAAAATAATTTGAAACATTTATTATGTTCGAAATGCAAACGGTGAACGCCCGCTGGCAGTGAAGCTTGCAAATGTTTGCTAATTCCTGTTCCCGCGAAACTCAGTAAGTTTCTCTCTATGGGAGAGTAAGATACCTTATTCTCTGAATTTTACTACTGGCTAATTCTTACTGGCAGTTGCATAGCGAACACTCGTACAGTCTTCTCGCCCCCACACATGAAATCGGCTCTTTACCTGTCCAGAAATTTGGCGCAGATAAAAAATAAAGACGGTATAAGAGGTTTATTTACTTTGTTTATTTATATTTTTTATTATCACTAAATTCTTGAAACCCCAAAGTAGATCATGATAAAATATGTATATCGAATTAAAGATAATAACTTGTACTTTCTAAATAATATAAATTTCTTTTCCATTAAGTATGCAGTTTTTTCTCAAAGAGGTGGTTTTTTTCATGAAATAATAACATTTGTTCGTTTTTTAGTGGTTTTGGTTTAAAAATATCAAAATCGTGACGTCATTAGTTTTCAGTTCATAAGATACCAATATTTAAAAAATCTAAAAATTTAACTTTAAACTTCTAGAACGTCTTCATTTTTTACTTCCGCCAAATAATTTTGACATGGTTGAAATGAGCGTAAAAAGTTCTATTGATCTGAATTTTTGCATAGCTGAACCGTCGGTATTCTAGATTTGTTCCAAGAAATGACGAATAACTTAAATTAAAAATGCATATTTTGACGTATTCTTTAGTATTTTCATTAAAACACCAAATATATTGCAAATTCCCATAGAATTAATACTACACATTTTACTTCTGATTGTATACTTTGCGTACTTTTTGTAGTAATTTTCTACTATCGTTTTCGCAGAAGGCGATCACATTGTTCCCCTTTCTCCTACTTCTAAAATACAAATCTAGATAAAGCAGTTTCAAACTTTAGCGGTCACAAATTACATAAGCTTGTATTATTGAATCATGCTTCTAAACATGATAAAAACATTACAAGGTAAATTCATTCTCTCATTTCGTCGGCCATGATTTTTTTCTGACGTTTGCAAACATTTTAAAATCATATAAAATTGAAAATAAAAAAATTAAATTGTTCACAATTGTTGTTGTTTGAGATTGAAAATGAGAATGTGTGTGTGAGTTTGAGTTTTGATTTAAAAATTATGTTAGGTTTGTTCGTCGAGCAAAAAATTTGTACGAATTTGTACGAATTATCACGATTTTTGCCCAAATCGCGTTCGTGCAGACCAAAAAATTATCCAACACTCAAAAATTGTGAGAGCAAAGTGACAGTTCTCTTGGAGAGAAGTTGCAAATTCTTGCTGGAAAAAATTTTGCCAGCAAGAATTCGCAAACACGAAAAACATGTGGTTGTGGCGCATGGTTGCATTTTTGTCTACAATAATTTGAATAAATTAGTTCGTTAAATTTAAAAATTTATAAACACGAGCGATTTTTTTATGAAAAAAGGAAGTAAATAATTGTTGATATAATTAATTTAGTTAATTCCAATGATTTGAACTTAATTCGGCTGAAAAAAATGTAAAAAATTGCAACCAGAGCCGATTTAAGAAACCCGACAGCTAGTACGATGAAGAAATTGAAATGTATGTTAAAGAAAGTCAGAACAACAAGAAATATACATGTATATCCTGTTTTTGGCCATCCGAAAGAATTTTAAAAATTCTATAAAAATTTTTTATGTTTGAAATGCAACCGTGGACGCCAGCTGGCAGCGAAACTTGCAAATTCCTGCAAATTTGCGTTCGTGCAGAAATTTGCAAGTTTCTCAACATGAGAGAGAATTTGAGAGAATTTTTTCTTACTCTCTGATATTTTGAGTGTTGGATAATTCTTGCTGGATTTTCGACGAACAAACCTATTGTTGGCAAACGTCAGACTGCCTCTCAATGG